TGAGGCTTCCTGTACTTATTTCTTCTGTAATTGTAAAACCACAAGTGGACTCCGCCGGTCAGAGCAGGCCGTCAGGGTTTGTTTCATTTTGTTTTATTTGACTTTGCCTAGAAAAAGAAAAATCTGATAGTATTCCTCCCTTTGGACCAATAAAGCTCCGCGGCTTTCTCTCCTCCTCCTCCTCCTCCTCTTCTTCTTTCTCACGTCAGTTGTTTTGCACACTTCCTATTTTCAAACACGGAAACAAACAGCACGAGAGGAGCAGGATGTGCTGCACGCACCGGGGGTCTCGAGCTCACGGGTAAAAAAAAAAAAAAAGAGGAGGGGGCTGCTGGGTGATGAGAGATGCGGGAGCGGATGCGTGCTGGTTGGAAGAAGCCGCCGCCGACTGTCGTAAAAAAACAGCAAAGAGGAAGACGGAAAAGAAGAGGAGAGGAGAGAAAGAGGATTCAATGCGGTGCGGCGCAATAAAAGAATATGACGGCAATAAAAGTTTATAGCGTATAAATTTCTGAAGGTTAAGAACTAAACGGCTGTAAAGCAAACACGCCAAAAGACAGAGAAGGAAGGGGGGCCGAGGAAAGACACACAGAGAGTGGAAATATTAGAGGAAAACTTTCAAATCGCCCTGCCTGATCATTTATTTGGAGGTTAGAGTGGGATTGATAGGCGCTACAGACAGAGGGAGAGAGCAAATATTAGTGGAAGGGCTTCTTCTGCGTGCTGGAAGAGAGAGGCAGTGATGGAGAGGCCTGGATGTGCAAGAAAAACAGAGCAATGGTGGGATTCTCCTCATCTGATTTTGTGCTACTTTTGTGTTTTAGCTGCATAGAAGGGGGGCGAGACTCCTTCCTCCTCTTTTCAGCTTTGGGAGTTTTATGGTTTTGTAGCCGTTTGGCTCTATTGGGGTATTTTTGCAGCCTGGCTCTGTGTGTGTGTGTGTGTGTGTGTGTGTGTGTGTGTGTGTGTGTGTGTGTTGGTGTCTCCCGTCCGACCTCCCTTTGTCTCACTCAGATGCATCCTTACAGCCGGTGCTGTATAGGCATAAACTCCTCTCCCCAAAAAAGCACTAAAAACACACCCAGACAGCAGACCCCGACACCGACACACAGGGCGTGCTGTGGCCGGCTCCTAGGCTTCTTTTCCGGAATAGAGGGCACGCTGGGGCCCGGGCTGGGGCTGCACAGCGGGGGGTAGGAAGAGAAATAACCTAACCCTAACCTGATGTTGAACCTTCTGTCAGAAACCTAGAGGAACTTTAAACGGTTGTCTGCGGGGTTTAGAGGGTTAAAGTTAAAATTACATTAGTTATTATTATTATTATTATTATTATTATAGATTTAAACCTCGTTCTGCGGGCTTTGCCTAATAGGGGTTCATGTTTCCACAGGGGTGAAACTGAGGATCTGGGCTGCTATTTCTACAGATAATGGTAACAACCGCTTTTACAGTCTGTTTACAGCCTGTAATTTAGCAACCTGCACGCGCGCGCACACACACACGCACACACACACACACACACACACACACACACACACACACACACACACACACACACACACACACACACACCAGGTCCCTCAAACATAAAAGCAACGATCATCAGCGGTAATAAAACTGTTTTTTCTGAAGTGGACTTCATTGACACCGAGGAGCAGATACACGCAGTTACACTTTTCACTTCCACGCTTCACTTATTCACTGTTTTGTTGTTGTTGTTGTTTTCAGCCACGTCTATTACGCAACCATAAAGAAAGCACAATCAAAAATGACTATTACATAAACCATGTTTATTGTTTATCATAGAATTTCAAAATGTAGTTTAATTTATTAATGTTAAGTATTTTGTTGGATTTTATTAGTATTTTTGGTTTTGTAAACATATAAAATGTCGCAACAATAATAATTGTAATAATTAATTCAATGTAATGTAGCCGTTAATATATATACGCACAAACCTTGGTATTAAATGCTTAAAATATTAATACAATATAAACGTAAATATGATTCAATATAAAATAAAAAATAAGACTACTAGTGAGCACATCTCGCGAGAGTTGTTTTTATAGTACGTTTATATAGCTAGAGAGTATATAAGGCTTTGTGCAGAATTAGCAGTGTTAGTCCCATGCAAGCGCAAAGTTTTATCAATGTATTTGATCTTTTGTGCTGTTTAATTTGTAGGCCTGCTGGATATATATATATAGGCTATATATATATATATATATATATATATATATATATATATATATATATAAAAAGTATACAAAAGGTACAGCTCTTTGTAAACATTGTGCCTTAGCTTTTAATTCAATATTTGAGGTTTCTAGAGTTTAAACACGGTTCAGACTTGACAAAAGGAATGCAACATATACATCTTAAAACTCATTAGATATATCCGGATAATTTTCCTTTACATTCCTACTAAGACAGGTCTGCCTTCACCTTCTTTTTCTCTCCCACAAATCCCAGATCAACCATCACATCTGCCCTCCAATTACAGTGCGCAGTTTTATTTTAAAGCAGTTTATGCAGCTTTATGTGCGCACTTAATACAACCATAAAGCCGGATTACAGGCCCACCTCCCCACCGGCGGCCTTACCGCAATTGACCGCTTGATGGCGCTCTTGCTCCACCGATAAAACAGACCTCGCCTGAGGCTCTGCTTTGCCTTTGTGTAAGACATGTACGGGTACCTTTAAGGGAGGTGAGACTTGTCGTATTCCTCTTCTTAATGTGTTTTAAAGGGGGTATTTTTAGGAAGAAGTGACGTGATTAGGCCACTTTTTGACTTTGCTTTAGAACATCCTGACATTTGAAGCAGCTTCGGGTCGTTTTCACTGTAGCGTTCAGGGGATGAAGAGGAAGGGTTGAGGCCTTGGAAAATAATAAGCCATAGACGTGCAGGACAGGCTGCCAGGAAATGTTTATTTTTTTGGTGAAAAAAATCACACCAAGGACGCTCTCGCCTTCCCCATTTTCTGTGTCTGCTTAATATGCAGGCATGTGTAGGTGTGTGTGAGTGCTTGTGTACTGGATGCCATGAACTCTGATCAAAAGGGAGCAATATCTTCATCTATAAAGGATACACATACTTTAAGCGCACTGCTACTGTGGCCAAATCCATTCTCTAGTATAGATTTGACGCAATGGACGTGACGCGTAAAGACGCAAGGGCTGAGTCCACTTTTTGATGTTCCTTCCTGCTCCAAATGCATTGCATTCAAGTGTGTGTGTTCACACTCTTCTAATTTAGTGGCCTGGCTTTGGGGATGTGCAGTGGACACTTGTTCAGGCGCGTGGAAACTGGTCAGAAAATGTGAAAAAAAAGTGTGTTTTTTTCACTCCACGTTTAGGCACATGCAGAGAACAGATCTCATAGGCTTTATTGGAAGTGTAAAACACGGCGCGGTGAAGTTTCAGTAAGATCATATTCTGGCTAATAAATTGGAAAAATACTGCGGCAATTACCGCTCAGAAAGTCGGGCGTACAATCAGCTGATTTACCACAACACAGTGAGTAATTCAGCCGCGCGCTGGCGACATTTGGGCCTCTTTTGCCAGCGCTGTATAATCTAAATAAATTAAATTCGGGTAATGGCATTTTTATTTGCCTGATGTGAGACCGTCCATGTTGGAAATAAACTGATAGTTCCGGAGCAAAATAATATTACCGTGATCAAAAGAGGAAAGTTATGTGTCGCGCAGGCTGCACGACCCTCCATCACCTTTTGCTCATATGTGATTGATCAGGAACTTGCACGCCTGTAGCGGCCACAGATCCTGGGAAATTAAGTCTCAGTCAAAGTAGAAATAACTCCACAGTTAGAGTCTAATCACTGCACTTTAGGCCATCTTACTTTTTACGAGCCCCGGCTGTTCTACAAGGCCGCGCTTAACCTTTCCCACAACTTATCCCTCGTTAGAAAAGCCCTCCTTGCTGCCTCACCTTAGCTTCCGAAGGGATGGACGGCAGCCGTATGGAAAACACGGCGAAAATGACAATTAAATACCGGGCATGGATGAGGCGTTTACGGCCTCCGGTCGCGCAAAGGGCGCGTCGTAAAAACCCCCTTTTTGTTTCTCTGCTGCAGGGACGTAAACAAGCAAGCTCTGCCCCTCCGCTTTATGGAGCTTTATAGTTTGTTAAAACGTTTACAGCCACTTCCTCCTAGCCTATTACCCTCCCCAGTCCTCCTTACATGTTTATGGAGATCATATTTATAAAAGTATACGATGATCAGAAAGCCTGCGTCCTGGGCCCCGCAGCTCGTCAATTTCCTGATCAGCAGCAGCAGAGAGACTGGAATGGAAGACAAGAAAGCATCCGACAACTGGTTTGAAAACCTCAATTACATTTATAGGCTGGTACTTGTTAAAACCAATACCAATTAGGAAGCGCTCTCCCTCTCTAACCTCTCTCTCTCTCTCTCTCTCTCTCTCTCTCTCTCTCTCTCTCTCTCTCTCTCTCTCCTCAGTCTGTGTTAACCTCTCTCTCCCGGGCTCCCTGACATTTTCGGGCCTCATTCACTTCAGGAGCAGCAGCAGCCACGCGCTCTCCTTTAAGGATTCAGGAGGAAGAAATGAGAAAGAGCAATTAATGAGAGGGATGCTCTCAACGACGCACTGTGCGATACACCCCCCCTCCCCCCCACCAGCATCACCCAACCTCAATCTCAGCTTTAAAAGTAAAAAAAAAAAATCCATCTCTTCTTCTCTTGGTTGGTCGGAAGAGTAGTTAGTGTGTGTGTGTGTGTGTGTGTGTGTGTGTGTGTGTGTGTGTGTGTGTGTGCGTGCGTGCCTGTGTGCGCGCATTTGATCAGATGCAAAGCGGCAGAATTCTCATTAACCCCCCCCACTCCACCCACTCCTCCTCCTTTCTTGCTTGATGCTGCACCTATTCTTTTTCACCCCCCGCCTCCTCCCCCTCCTCCTCCTCTTCCTCTTCTTCTTCGCCTCTCTTCTTTCTTCATTCTCTCACTCCGTTTGCATTATCACAGGCGCGCGGAGCTCCTGGAGCCGACGCCGGGAGACTATCATCTAGGCTAACAGGCGCGTGCGGGTGCAGGCGCAAAAAAAAAAGAAAGAAAAAGTGCAATAGACCTTGAGTGTGTGCGCGCTCGTGCACGTGTGTATATGTGCGTGGAAAAGCCAATGGGATGAAGAGCTGATAATAGATGCAAATTATCCCTGAAACCGACACACACACACACACACACACACACACACACACACACACACACCGGGGCCAGAAGGAGAGAGAGAGAGAGAGAGAGAGAGAGAGAGAGAGCGCGCGCGAGAGAGAGAGAGAGAGAGGGAGGGAGAAAAAATATGAAACAACTCATTTGCAGAGGAGTAAATCACGGAAAACCCGTTTGAGAGCGCGACAGGGCTCCCGCTTACAGCGCTAACACCGGAATTGTGATGCGCACGAGCCCTTCCTCCTCTACTTCTCCCTCTTCTTCTCCTTCCTCTTCTTTTTCTTCTTCTTCCTCGTTGGAGATTTTATGGAATCGGTGTGATTGTTGTTATTGTTGTCGTGGTGGCTGTGGCTGTTACTGCTCTGGCTGGCTGCCGTTACCGTTACTCACACCGCTCGTCTGTTGTGGCCGTGAGGGGAAACACCACAACAACGGTCACCGACACCGGCGGCAGACCTGCCTCGCTCTCTCTCTCTCCCTCCCCTCCGTGTCTGTGTGTGTGTCGGTGTTTCTCTGCCTCAAACCGCACGACAGAAGCAGAAAAAAAAAGAAAACACAATTGAAAGCCGCCGGTCGCCTCCTCCAGTCCCACTGTGTCTCTGCCGAGCCGAACACAAACTGAAACAACAATAAACAACAACACAAAAAGATGAGTTCATATTTCGTCAACTCGCTCTTCTCCAAATATAAAAGCGGGGACTCGTTACGCCCGAACTACTACGAGTGCGGTTTCGCGCAGGACCTGGCCGGCAGCCGGCCCACCGTGGTGTACGGCCCGGGCTCCGGCGCCACCTTCCAGCACGCTCCGCAGATCCAGGACTTCTACCACCACAGCGCCTCCACGCTGCCCAGTAACCCGTACCAGCAGAGCCCCTGTGCGGTCACATGCCACGGCGAGCCGGGTAACTTCTACGGATACGACGCCCTTCAACGGCAGACGCTTTTCGGGGCGCAGGACGCGGATCTGGTCCAGTACAGCGACTGTAAGCTGGGAGGCGCGCCGGGGCTGAGCGGCGAGGACGCGGAGGGAACCGAGCAGAGCCCCTCGCCGACGCAGCTGTTCCCCTGGATGAGGCCGCAAGGTGAGGAAACACACAGACGTGGCTACTGGGTTTTTTTGTTTTTTTAATCTTTTCCCTTGTTCGAGACATATCGTGCCGAGTCTTCCCCCCCAGATAGGTCAGTATCCATGTTAGGAGCAGAGCTGCTCCTCCAGGAGGAGAAGACTACAAATGTAGACGCAGAAACAGTGGGGAGAAAAGTTGGAAAAGTGGTTTTAAAAGCAGCAATTTAAGCGGGGCAATTACAGCTTCCTGAGTTCAAAGCGGGAGACAAAAGCACGTTTATGGTTTTATTGGCAGCACCAAAACTTGTGAATGACTTTAGGGTTTAATTGCCCCGGCCATATACTGAGAGAATGGACGGGGAGAGCCGGGGTAGGAGCTCAGAGAGAGAGAGAGAGAGAGAACAGCAGTTCAAAATAAGCGAGAGTTGGTGGAGAGAAGAGGGGGGGCAGAGGAGAGAGAACTGAACCTCAGAGACCTCTTCATGAGAAACCCCTGCGTAGAGCAGATGGGAAAGAGTTGTTGGAGGTAGTTGTTTCCAGACACACAGACTCATTTTAGACATGCAGCTCTGACCCGGGTTAAACTTTTACTGCCTTTTTTGCTTTTACTGCCTTGCCTGTGGTCTCCGGATTATTTGGCTACACGGTGGCCAGTTCCCCATAGGGTTAAAGCAGGGGGGCAGTGCATGTGTGTGTGTGTGTGTGTGTGTAGAGGATAAAGGGAGTTTTTTACTCGGATTTAGCACCTTCACAGCGTGTGTGATCTCAAAACTCTCAGGCCTGTCTGATCCGCTGACTCAAATACCAAAATCATCTCACAAGTGTTGTCCGTGTGCTTCAAATTTAAGCTGGGCTGCTTTTGTGTCTTATGTGTGTATGTGTGTATTTGTGTGTGTGTGTGTGTGTGTGTGTGTGTGTGTGTGTGTGTGTGTGTGTGTGTGTGTGTGTTCGTGGTCTTTGTGTGTTTGTGGCACACACAGCCTGTGAATATGGATCAGGCCCGATTGGTTCAACACGATCGGATTGTAAATCTTAAAAGAATGTGATTTAAAAAATATATTATTTGTATTATGGGGCAGCCGAGTTCATAACTGATGGCTTAAACCAACAAGACTGATTACGCAAGAAGGCATTTTTGTGTTAGAGAGACATAGACTTAGAGGGAGAGAGAGAGAGAGAGAGCGTGAATGGATTGACGTGTATAGTAGCCTATTTTGTTTGAGCCCATATTTCTTGTGCTGTGCTGTTGTGTGTGTGCGCGCCTGCGTGTGTGTGTGTGTGTGTGTGTGTGTGAAAGAGAGAGAGAGAGAGAGAGAGGGAGGGAGGGAAGGAGGGAGAGAGGGAGAGAGTTTATTGCTTATGTTCTCGGTTGTATTTTTGAAAGTGGGCCTGCAGACGGGTTATAGCCTGTACAGGACTTTTGTGGCTTCATGATTATGATCATAAAATAGGAAAATAATAAATTAAAAAAACTACCCAGGTCTGTATTCACCCCGAGCTGCTTCCTCTTCATCCTTATAAGACTTAACGTGCCAACCACCTGCTACAGATAACTGCAATAATAGGAGCTAATTCACATTTACGCACGCTTTTATAAGACTGTGAAGACGGTGTTTCCTCTCCACCGCCTCCCAGCAGTGTGTGTGTGTGTGTGTGTGTGTGTGTGTGTGTGTGTTGTACCTTGTGTATTTGCGTTGAAGGTTTCCTGTTTGTGCGGCCTGTACATTGTCATAATTTACATCTTTAAAGCCTCTGTTATATTTTCCTAGCACTTGTCTCGACCTGCTCCCCTGTGTGCGTAACGGCTTTTCAAATGATTCCCAGCTTTTAAATACGAGCGGCCACACTGAGCACCACTTCTTAAGGGCTTCAGTCCTTCTTTGCCAACGATGGCAGTGATTAGTCCCATGATTAATAGTTTTCAAACAGTATATTTGGGTTTAATGGCGTGCCGGCCCGGGTGCAGGCAGCTCAGACCGAAAAGTCGAGGCAAAAACAGGAAACCAGCCGTGTCAAGCCGCGCTGCTCTGCGCCGCTCAAGTCCGAGAATGCTTTGTGCACACGCAGTTAGAGCCCGTGCACGGTCTGATGGGATATTATCGTTGCTCAGCGTGAGGATTTATTAGTTATAATAGCAGAAAAAGGCGGACGGTCTTTTGTGGCTGAAACGGGAGGATGGAGCGCAGCGGCGGAGGCGGGTATCCTCCCCGTTTACCTCGGAAATTCCCCTTTAACGAGGGCTTACATTTCATAATTTGTTTTATAAAGAGGAATCTCGCCTCCTCCACACCTCCACACCTTTTATGTTATAATCCCAGCACCGAAGGAGGCTCCTGCTCGCTGAATATGTCTTGAAATACTCCCGAGCCCCGAAGCTGCAGGTTTAATATCCGAGTTTGGTTCTAAACTCCTGAATATGAGCCGTTTTTACGACTTTTACCGCTGCGGATGGAAATGTTGATAAATCATTGTCTCTGTACGACTTTAAAATGAAAAAAGGAGAGTAAAATCTGATTAGGTCGAAGAATGAATGTATGTCTCTAATGGTATTAGTGTCTTTTGCCTCGGCTCTCATTGGCATCTGTTGTGGAGTGGAAACCTCTCCTCCAAAATGTCAACTGCCAACTGCCATGCATTTGTTTAGGGCTTATTTAATTGGCTTCGTAAAGGTTTCATATGTAATAGGTCTTCAAAATGTTTCACAATCCCAAGGCTTGTATCATTTTCTCAGGCCGTTAAAGAGCATGTAATCCTTCAGCTGACGCTAAAACAGGAAAATGTCAAATAAATGATGCAGATTTTAGGATTTATTTCTCTGAAAGCTCTTTGATCCGCCTCTGCTGTATATGGAAGGTGTATCTCCACACACTTTGTGCGGTGGACAGACGCAGCCGGGGTTGGGGGTTAAATTCCCCGTGCATGTTGCTCCATCAAAACCTCTTCGGATCAAAGCGTCCGTGCTGTCATTTTATCCTGGAAAAGTGTTTCTCATTTCCCTTAATTCATGGCTGGTGACAGCAGTGAATGTGGCGCCCACTTCCCTTTAGTCCCTATAGCACGAAATCACGGCGCCAGCCCTGTGACAGATAACACATACAAGAAGACATTTACATCATTTACAAGTTCATGCCTTTCCATAAAGACTCCCTTGTCTTCTTATTCTCCTGGCCGTTTTACCATAAAAAGCAGCTCTGTGTCCGTACACAGACACGTTGAGACCATGAGAGTCACAGCACTTTCTTAAAAGTAGAAAAACACCGCGCTAGACTTTGCTTCGTGGTAGATATGTCTATAGATACAATGGGTATTGAAGATATTTTTCACCCGTAACCTGCAGGCTTTATATAATGTGATCAGAATAGATAAGACTTCTATGTGATTATAGCAGTAAATGCGCTTCCATCAAAGTCCTTGTGCTCTTCCTTAATGTAATCCAGAAACTTTACTGTCCTGGAAGGACGGTGTGTGTGTGTGTGTGTGTGTGTGTGTGTGTGGATGGAGGATCAGACGCTTTATTGTTTAAAAAAAAAGAAATTATGAAAGAATAGTAGACATCAGAGAATTCACTTAAATTTTTCTAAAACAAGAAAAAACACCTTTCTTTTTAGGGATGTTTAACTTGCCAATTGATGCAAAAATCAGAATTTCCCTTCAGATCAGTGATTTAGAAGCAGCCGTTTTCACTTCAGAGCTTTATGATCGCTGGCATGTTTTATCCGTGCACGGCGCAGAGCTCCTTTTTTATGGTACAATAATCGAAGAGGAAGACAAACAGTTTTATGGAAATATAATCACTTGCACAAATGTCCTGTAAGTGTAAAGTGTCGGGAGTTTGCTGCCAGGCTTTCAGTTTTATTCGCCCTCTTTATACTGAAATAACGTGGAGTTTATTAGGGGCGCCGTAGAGGAAGCAGCATAAATCTTTTTTAATAACAGATATTTTCAGTGCTACCACCAAGGTTAGAGAATTAGGATATTTTAAGCATTTATAATTATCCAGTTTGATGGAATTAGCTTGTATGAAATATTAAAAATAAAATACAGTGCAAGGGCATCATCCGTCTGTCCTGTCCTGGGTCCTAACACGCAGATGAATGATGCTATCACTGGTTATTAATTGAAAAAAAGTCATGAGCTTTTTCTCCAATGCATGTGCACACACATCTGACCTCGTGTGCGTTTATTAAGTATTTATGAATTTTATAATGCGTCTGTGTGAGTACCGGGGTTCTCTGACTGCGCTGCTTTCAAAGCTGCGAAAACAGACAGAGCGAGCAGAGTAAATGATGACCTGATGTTGGTTTGGAAATAATATGTCTTTATCTGTCTTCATCTTTGCACCATTTTTAATTAAAAGTCTTTGTTCGCCATTAAAGGCAGAGCTTTAATCGCTGTTCTGGTCTTTGCTGTGCGGGATCCTTTTTCCTTTTAAAAGTGTTTACGGTGTATTTATAGCATTAAATATTCATGTTCACTTCTGTAAGTGCTCAGTCGATTAGTCTGCGTTATATAAGAGTGTTCCTTTTCTTTTTTTAACAATGACTGAGCAGTTGGCTGATGGTGCGAGTATGGATTGAAAGACTTCTGTTCTTGGACTCGTGTTTAAAGAGTAGTAGTAAGAATAATGTGTGTTTGTGTGCGTGCGTGTGTATGTGTGTGTGTGTGTGTGTGAGAGAGAGAGAGAGAGAGAGAGAGAGAGAGAGAGAGAGAGAGAGAGAGAGAGAGAGACCCCTGGACATTAAAGTCACATGAGGATCACATGATTCTACAACGTGCACTGATGTGGATTTTACTAAAACTATGTCTTATGTATACATGTACAGTGTGTATCTATGAGCATCTATCAGTGTATTTTGGATCACAGCGTTCTGGCAAACTCAAAGGCAAATGTTGACCATGTTAACTCAGGCAGAGAACCAAGGAATTCATTGACGGATAACTCAAACAGAAGTACTTCCTCCTAACATCAGTCAAATAAACAGAAGTATTCAACCTCACACACTTACCAAACCCTAACCAACAACCTTTATAGTTTCAAATGTTATGGAATTCTGTCATCACTTGTTCTAAAATATAGTGTTGAAATGATTAGTCGATTAATCGTTAGTTAACTAATTTGTTGGTTTTCTCAATCAGTATAAGTGTTCATCAATTATTTGTTCATCTCTTTTTTTAAGAAAGACAAATATTCTTCTGTTTCAGTTTTAGAGTTGCTGCTTTGTATAAGTGTGATGTGACTGTTTATTGAGAGATCTTTGGGTTTTGGGTTGTTGGTTGGACAAATAAAGAAGTATGAAGATGTCACCTGGGACTATTATGTTAGTATTTATTGACATTTTTATATAATATTGTCTACATTGTGTGGGTTGTGTTTTCACTTATTTCAGATGTGACATGATTCTTTCTCGACATGTTGTAGCTGTCGTAGAAAACTGATGTTACAAGGTAGCAGGTTTGATCATTTCAGGGTATAATAACCATCTCAGAAAGTATCGCGGTTTCACAGTATAATGGATGCACAGTTATTATCCTTATCATCACCTTTCCACGGCAGGGCGGAGATAATGGACCACTAAGATGTAAGAATGTACCTAGTTTGCCTCTAACAAAGTCTCCCCCTCTCCCGTGTCCCCCCTCTCCTCACCCCCTCCCACCTCTTCCCAGTAGCTGCGGGCAGGAGGCGGGGCCGGCAGACCTACAGCCGCTACCAGACTCTGGAGCTGGAGAAGGAGTTCCTGTTCAACCCCTACCTGACCCGGAAACGCCGCATCGAGGTGTCGCACGCGCTGGCGCTGACGGAGCGGCAGGTGAAGATCTGGTTCCAGAACCGGAGGATGAAGTGGAAGAAGGAGAACAACAAGGACAAGTTCCCCAGCAGCAAGAGCGAGCAGGAGGCGGTGGAGAGGGAGAGGAGGGAGAAGGAGCTGCGGGATGGCAGCGGAAGTGGCGGGGGAGGAGGAGGAGGTGCAGAAGGTGGCGGCGGAGGCGGCGGTGGTGGTGGTGGTGGAGGAGGAGGTGGCGGAGGAGGAGGAAGCTCTGTGGCGGGCACGGCGGGGTCACAGGCCCCTGTGAATGAGGATTGCTGCGAGAAAACCCACAAGCAAATGTAGGGAGGAAAGTGGTGAAATGAAGGGGGGGGAGGAAGAGGGGAGAGAAATGGGGGGCGAGGAGGCTGTAAATGTTGGACAGGATGGGGTGAGGGTGGGTGCGGGCGGGTGGGTGGGTGCTGTTTTTGTCTTAATTGAGGCCACAGGACTGCCCCGCTGTCTCCACGATTCAATCGATGGAAAGGAACTTGGAGTTTCCAAAATGGCGACCGGCGAGCTGGACGGACTCGAGGGGCCTCGCGCTCTCTGATTGCTGACTGTACAAAGCGCGGGAAAGGAAAAAAAAAAAACATGAGACAATGAAGCAAGAAAGTGAACTTTAAAAAAATAAAATGGATGGGTTCGGGGGTGGATCAATCCAACTCAAACAAACATAGTCTACTCTAGTGTTTAAAACAAACAAAAAGAAAAAAAAAAAGAAAGAAAAATGATAGCTTCCTTTCTTTGTGGAACAATTATCGTGGAAACATTTCTATATTGTTAGAAGTTTATCATTAACAACTTTATCTTTGGCAGCTGTATAGTTTTTAAGTTAAAAAATGATGATGGTGCACTTTTTACTGTACTTCTCACTTCTATGTTGTTGTTGTTGTTATGGCAATGGTTGATGATGATGATGATGATGATGATGATGATGCGTAGCAATTAATGAAATTTCCAACAACATGAAACTGCCTATTTATGCCGTTTTAGTAGGTCGGGTCTCTTTTTTACACACTCTAATTGTCGTTTCTCGTTTTAGTTCGTTTTTTGATCGATGGTGTTTGTTTTATGTTGTCTTCCTTTTCTCTTTTTGGGTAAAAAGCATGCGCACAGTGCAGATTAAAAAAAAAAGGAGAACATTCATAAAAATAAAAAACGAGTAAAAATGTAATACAAATGTTGCGTGCTGCATTTGATGTGAAGCTCTGTTATGAGTGTGAGGGTTGGTTTTATTGTGCTGTTTGACTTGTCTTTCACTCAGATGTCCGTTAAGAAGCAGCAGTGCTGGGAAAGCTTTGCAAGCTACCTCACACTGGAAGAAGTGGAACTACAACAAAGCTACCCAAGGGAGGGATATAGTTTGGTTAACTAAAGCTATGCAGAAAAAGAAGTTAGATTACAACAAAATATGACCAAAAACTATAATAGATTCCAGCAAAATGTGCCACTCAATTGAGTTTATTGCAAAAAAGTTTCCTTCTTGTTTACAGGACAAAAACAATATTCACAGGAATGTGTTCTATAAAATGTCCATCAGTCAGACACCTGCCTAGAGTCCCGGTGAGGGTTTTGCACCAAGCAGGATAACAGTTATCCAGGTCACTCTTAAAATAACATGCAACAACGTCTCTGAACGTTTGTTAATAAACATCAATAATCTATATTTATGACTAATATTGACACCTAATATATTCAAGGGTAGCTTTGCAAATTCAGATTCAAAACAATAATAAGAACTACAACTAAATATGTTTGACAGGTGAGTGTCAGCTGAGCAGTTCCTTTCCTTTTAGGCCTAACATGGTTTTGTAGCCTCAGTAGGTTTAACTACATAAACAAATGGGGGAAATGGTTATTTTGAATCACTAGTTGAACTGCCAGCAAGTTATTGCCAAAATGGCACACTGTGTATGAGGTTGCCATGGTGTGGGAAAGAAGTGAAGAAATATTAGAGAAGAAGCTTCCCTCTTTTCCTTTCCCCTCCTTTCTCCCCATCCTTTCTCACCCCCTCTCCTCCTTTCACCTCTCTCATTCCCGTGTCTCTCTCCTCTCTGTACACTCTGTCAGCACCCAGACTGATAAAACCGTTCAGTTCACGAGGCCACACATTTAAGCCTCGACTCGGAAATCTCCACTTAAAAACAACAGACGCCGCCCCCCCCTTCACCCCCCCCACCCATCCACCCACACACACACACACACACACACACACAAATCCACAACCTATCCAAACATCGCGTTATTTATGGCCTGGTCCTCCACCTCCACTTACATTATTACAGGCCTCTATATTCACCATTACACTGCCTTCCATCATCATCACGATGACGACTTGAGCTCGGATTGTTTCCATATGGGAAGATCAAACACACTGAGCATTCATATTTACTCCTGCATATATATCTTTGTACACTGGACTCCGAGCTTCAGAGGCTATGGAGAATCCCTAGTGTCATCAAACCAACAAATATCTGCTAAATAAAAGGTTTCCAGGCACTAACTGGGAAAATAACTTTTGTCTCACGTGGAGAGCTTCAGATAGGAAGTCAAACACAGCTGGGGGAGTGTGCGGTTAAGGGTGTGAGGCCGCAGGCTCCACATACACCGAGCTGTAGATAACCAAATGGGCAGCGGATTAAATGTGCCTTCCTCACTGAGTCCGGAGTCCTTCCAGTTTTAAAGTTAAGAGTGCGTCATAGTGCACTTCAGTTGCACTTTTACAATGCTGTTGCGGGCTTTTTCCAACTTTTTGTGGCTAAATTTAGGTTTTAACAAACAAATATAAGAAAACGAGTATTAATGGCCGTCTTTGACAGCCCTGCTCAAGGTAAAGGGCTATATAGGATGTGTCGCACTTTCATAAAGAGTACTTCACGGACAGAAAATCAAAGCGGTAAAGCCCAATGTGTGTGGGTAGTTAGTGTGGGCTCCAGAGGTTCCAAACCCTTTTTTACCTCATCAGGGTTCTGATACCAGAAAACCGAACTTATATGGGTACAGTTGTTAGAGTGCCACTTTGAGTTGTCCAAAAGGTTCTATCAATTGAAACTTTATGGTTTGGTTTATAAAATACAACATATACTTTGTTTGGGATATCTATCATGGTCCACCAGCCTTTATGAAACAAGCGTTCAGTGTCTGACATTATGAAATATAAGAATATGCTAAAATCAACTCTATTTGAATCTGCATATGGCCGGAATAAAGTCCCCAAAATTGCTGTTGTGCCCCAACTGATACCCCGACACATTCCTCATGGTACACTACATGGCAGCTTCATTATATGACTCTAAAACTAGTAATCCTCTGCTGTAACCACAGCTTGCCACAGGTTGTCTGTCAGTTAGGTTAAGTTCACACTGCAACTCAGATCTGTTTTTTCTTCCTCACAGTGTGAACGTCACAAATCACATGGAATCTGATCTTATCAATTCTTATTTGAGACACTTTCATATGAGGTTCAAATCCGCTACGGGTCTGTTTTTTTATTTTTATTTTTTGCAATGCGTCCTCAGTGTGAACAGTCATCAGAATTCATGTGACCTTTATGTCACTCTAGATCTACGTTCATCATGCGGGTCACTTCGGGGCCGTGACCTGATCACACTGGAATCTGAAATGGGCCACATAAAAAAAATAATAATATAAAAAAACTAATAAACACAGCTTCAGTCTATACCTTGTGAGCATTATATAATAATAACGGGGATTATGAAAGGTAAGGCCAAAAGGTTAGGCAGTTCCAGCCCTTGTTTATATTGTACTTTAGTGTTGCAAATTCTGACAAACTGGCATTTTATCAAATGACCAAATGGACCTGGAGCTCCAGGAAGGTGGCACTACCAACAGTGCAACTTTCAATCATCCTCAGACCCAAAGCTTTTCTCTCGTTCTGTTGGAATTATCTGCTGCTTACTGATCACTGTGTTTGTTATGTACAGTGTATGAACCTGTTCTGTGTGAGAGCGAACAAAATATCTTTTTTAAATCACATCTTCTCAGTGGGATGTGAACTCATTTGTGATTATAGTGGAGCGGGCATGTGATGTTATGCACGGAATAGTCGAAGCTCCTCTGTTCCAGTGTATGAGTTAACAACAGGGACATGACACTTGGCTTTTTGTAAAGGTAAATGACTTCATGGCACTGTGAGGACGAGAGGTTTTACGCATGATACCTCTAAGCTGTGCTCACAAACAAAACAATGCATTTAAAAGAAAGTAAAGCAGCTAAGTGGAGTTTACCACTTGTAAAGGATCGTGCAGTTCTGTCAGTGTGATCAAACAAACATTTTCTTTCGAATCCTTTAATTGTCTCAAATCCCTTGTGTTAGAAAAACAAATTACTGGATGTGTACGCACGCATAACTCCTCTTTGACCTGTTAAACATTACAGTGAGCACAGAGATTTTATCTCGAAGAACTCAGTGCTGCGTGGCAGGGAAAGGTCAAAGTCAGGGGTACGGAACCATGAGCACGGAGCCGAGCACCTGCACGCCAGGTGAGTTTCCTCTGCCGGATCCAGTGCCAGGGACCACAACTAATCACACCTGAACTCAAAGGCGCAGGTGATTTGTCTTGAATGAGCTGCAGAGTGGAGACACACCCGCACTCATAGCACCAGTGACCGTAAAATGTGCTTCGTCTTTTCTTGTAGTATAATGGATAAACCCTCGCTCGCTTTCAACAAACACTCAGGTTTCTAGTTTGCCTAGCTTATAGCTCCAATATTTCATGAGCCATGGCACAGAGCTAAGAAATATTAACCTGTAATTCTTCATGTTTTGATTATTAGTTGAATTAAAGTGGAACGCGGCCTCTTGTGGCCGCAGCAGCTGCGATCTTTCATTGTGAGCGTTATTGCAGAATGATTTTCAAAGTGACACGTCTGACTGCTTCCATAAACGTCCCTCACTCCTGCAATGTTGTTTATACGTCTCCACCTATTACTCTGCCTGCGGTAGAGCAGCCAGCAGCGGCAAACAACGGCCCGTTTTGTTGTGCTGTGTGGGACCCTCTCTTCTGCACGTGTGGTCTCTACAAAGTGCGAGTTGGAATAAGACGACGTTCGCGGAAAACGGGGGAAATCCATCTCCTCTTTTTAGTCTTCTCGGCAACTTTACGCACGTGCCGACAGCCATCCCATTCCAAGTCTAATCAATATCACATCTAATGGTGTTTTCCGCTTTTTTGCGCACGACTTAACCCGGTAAAGCAGGACAGCAAAGATTTAAGTTTGAGCTGGATGTTTGTCAGCCTCAGCCGTTTTGTTTTCCAGCTCAACGTGCGCTCGGTGATTAGTGGACACGTTCCGAGCTGCTGCGTATTGATTCTATTATTGAATGCTGGGTGCGTGTATGTATGTGTGTGTGTGTGTGTTGCAGCGGTCACTCCCTGTGTGTTGCAGCTAATTTCTTCCATTACAATATTGCATCCGGAGGGAAACCCCGTCGGCCATTGGGCATCTTGACATCACATGGACCTTAGATCACGTGGTCCGCGAGGCAATGGGAGGGAGGGGAGGAGGAGAGTGGGGTGGGGTGACTTTTTTTTTTGGTGTAAATCTAGACAGTAATACCTCACCAATAATTCACGGTGCCTCGTAAAAAGTCGACACTAAAGCGCCCCGGGCCTACAAATCACCGGCGGCCAAATTATGAGTTCGCTCGACTTCGCCAACGCGCTGTTTTCTAAATACCAACAAGCCGCTGCGAGCTGCTCCGCTCTGCTCTTCACAGACTCTCCAACTTCTCCCTTCCAGTCTTCTTCTTCCTCTCTTGCTCCTGACGTGTCTTCTTCGTGCGCCCTCGTGTCCAGCGGATATCACCTCCATGTCTCCAGTGGGAGAGGCAGCGGAGGGCTCTCTTTCCCTCCCTCTTCTTCTCCTTCCTCCTCCTCCTTTCCCTCCACCTCTTCTTCCTCCTCGTTCTGTTTGTCTCTTTCGGGATTGAACCGGAGCAGCGGGAGTACTCAGCCCAGAGCGCATCCTTTCAACCCTGCCGAAGTGCTCACGAGAGGGGCATACAGCGCGCCGGGAGCCGAGCAGCTGTGCTCCTCTCTGCAGGGATGCGCCGCGGAGCCGTTCCCCGGTCGGCCTCAGCTGTGCTCACTGACCGACAGGTTCCCTGAGCCGGCCTGCAGGAGGCAGAGTAGCCCGGAGCAGCAGCAGCGGCAGTTAAACGAGAAAGGGCTGAGGATTTACCCCTGGATGAGAAGCACAGGTGAGGAGAGAGAGGAGGAGGAGGAGGGTGGGGATGGAGATGTTGTGAGAGGTGATTAGATAATTTGCGAGGCCTCACAGGTAAGTTGGAAAGAGAGAGAGAGAGAGAGAGAGAGAGAGAGAGAGAGAGAGAGAGAGAGGAGAGAGGGAGGGGGTGGGGGGTTACTAAGAAGAGTTGGGAAAAGAGGGGATGATTACAGGAATGGGTGATAGTGTGTGTGTGTGTGTAAGGGGGAGAGAGAGGTGTGTGTGCATGTTAATTACGTTAAACGCTCTTTAAACTGTTGGCCCGGTTGCGCAGCGGCCACTGCCGGTAGCTGAACTATGCCTGCCTGTCTCTTTCTCTCTGTCACTTTTTTACAACCTCTCTCTCTCTCTTTGCAGATCTTTTATGGCTCTGCGACCTCCATAAAACCATAATTTAAGACTTGGTGAATATTCATTAGGTGGTATTGTGTTTAAAAGGGGGGCAGTGGAGCGCAGGGGTGGCTGCAGTATTATTCCAAAGTGTTTGAAAGTGAAGAAAACCTCCAAAACCTCCAGAAAAAGTCTTCTTCTTCTTACGGTTAAGTGTTTGGCTCAGCCCAGCTCAGCCTCTCCTACCTGATAGTCTTGTGTTTCTCTGTCAGTACTAGCTGACCCACTGAAAGCCCATTGTGCTATTGTACTGTCACCACAATCCGCTAATACTATAAACACTATAAATTAGCAGATGGGTTTGATCTCTGAATGCCTGCCCTTTCCCCCGATTGTAAAAGCGGTATTGTGCGACAGCAACGGGCTGGATGCTGAATGGATGTGGGGCCTCGCGAGCCTCGAACCACAACAAACACACACACACACACACAGCACAAAGAGCACAAAGAGCATTTTTATGTTTGCGTTAAAATGCTGAATGGTGGCGCGTAAAAAACGGGAAATATGGTGAGAGTGTTCGTGCGTAAAAGTGAAGGAGACGTCCTTCTTAAAAAACAGCAATCACACAGGAGGCATAAAAGCGTGTCCATTAGTGCGCCACTGAGTGGATGCCATGCGCTTTTATATTTATGTTAATATATTATGTTAGTATAGTATAGTATTATTATTATAGTATTTATGTGCGTAAATCTGGGTCATGTGCAAAACAGGTCCATCATTAAAGATAATCAGGTAACCTTTTTTTCAACTAAATGATTACCACTTACCACCACACACACACACACACACACACACACACACACACACACACACACACACACACACACACACACAAAGCTCAATCAAACTCACCGTGAAATTATTTTTGGAGAAATCAGGTCCCTCCTCATTAGCAGGAGCCTCTTGGCAGCTACTGGTCAGCTTCTCTGGCGCCGCAGGCTTCCTCATTAATTTCCGTCCCCGTACCGTCCTCCTGTCCCACTGCCCCGTGTACGTGTGTGTGATAGAGAGTGCAGTTTTTTGTGTGTGTTTTTTTGGTAAGTGATTCTCATTTGGAGACCAGAGTGATAAAGAGAGTGAAATCAAAAGGGATCTTATTTGCTCCAGGCTCATAAAGACAAACATATTGGTTCTTTTGTGGAGAAGGCAACGGATTTTATTAAATATTATTATATAATTATTATTAATTATAAGTTAATGAGGACAAGTGATTTGGAATAAAGGAAAATAGAAAATATGGAAATAAAACACACACTATGGAAAGCTCTATCTGTGTGTTTGTGTTTGTGTGTGTGTGTGTGTGTGTGTGTAGGGAGGGGCTGTGGTGGGGTGGAACCCAGTCAGCCTGTATAATGAATTTATAGATTTTAATTTAGATCCGATTCCAGTCCAAGGCTCAGAGGATGATTGGAGGGAAAGGTCCCGGATGCTCCCGTTAACACAGGCGAATGAGACAAACACACGATCGCTTATTAAAGGAGGCGCTCGAGCTCTCACATAAACACTACTTGTTTTATACATGTATTTCTATCTATCAGTGTGTGTGTGTGTGTGTGTGTGTGTGTGAGAGAGAGACAGAGAGACAGAGAGACAGAGAGAGAGAGAGAGAGAGAGCACAATACAGTCCCTTCTTGTTGTTGATTGCCAGAGAATTCCATCTCGAGTTGGAGCGCAAATAAATCACCGCCGACAGCGCGAGAGCAGAAAAATATTACCAATGGAGATGAATTCTCTTTCTCTCTCTCTTTTTTTCTTGCTCCCTCTCTCTCTCTCACACACACACATACACGCGCAGCACAAACTATCACCGCGCTCGGCAGCAAAAAGGAAGTTGTCCACAGATAAGCACACACACACATACTCACATAGAAATACTTAATCACGCACACTTCCACGCTGCTGACACTCAGTCACCCACACATACTGACTGCTGCCTTCAATAAACTGTGGCGCGCGCATAAACACACGAAGACGCACACGCGCGGGGACGTTGCAGGCAGACACATGATCATGCGGAAAGAAATGTAACTGCGCTTATCTCAGAGGATTACCTGGGCTGTGTGGAGGTAATCAGTATAATAAAATAGTTTTATATTTAATTTACTCCCATTTTTTTTTCATCATTTTTTCAAATACATATATTTTTTATTGATAATATGTTTTATTTTTAATTTTACTCTTTACCCCTTGAATCAGTGTTTATTGTCAGGGACAAAACAAAACAGAGCGAACAATACTGAACTAAGTGAACTCAGATTTTTTAGACATGTTTTCACTCACATGAATAAGGAAGAATTCAAAATAAAAAGTACATGAAATAGAAAGTTGATATAATGTCATTAAATGGAGCAGCACAGGAGTAAGTGTGAGTGTTTAGTCAAATAAATACGTAAGGCAATAAATGAATAAATAAATAAGAAGAAAACAGAAAATAACTCCAAAGTGACATGGAGACATTCAGAAAATAAAAGCAGAGCTGCAGCTAGAAAAGACATCAAGTGACTCCAAGGAGCCTGTTACTCAGTCTCTTATTATTTGATAAACTGTGTGAGAGAGAGAGAGAGAGTAACAAATATTAAAAAACAAGTACAAAAAACCTTCAAATTAAAAGCTTTATCATCCTGTGATGTTTATTATTGAGGTTTATTGCACAGTGAATTGATTCAGAGACCAGTCTGAATGCACCATCACACACAGAAATACACTCAACCACAGTAAAGATCATAAACATTGTTAGAAGTGAAGTACATTAAAAGTTTTTTTTTTCACACACAGGACCACAGGCAGGATTTTAGAAATACCTCCCTTTCACCTCCCCCATTTTGTTTTTTATCATTTATGTATTTATCTAAAGCTATATTAAATTATATATTTCTGTTATTTCTCAACACGAGGGTCTTAATGCTGTTCCAAAGCTATATCCACACTGCCAGGAATTACGTTCTCATGGAGAAATACTGGAATCATCCTTTCTAATACAAACCACATGTAAAGATTTGAATTGTAGCATGTAAACTCCTCCGAGGTTGCCGAAAACCCCGAATTCCCAGAAGGAAAGGCAGAGGACATGACCTCAGTGTCCTCAGTAGTAGCTCCAGCCCTCCTCATATACTGTATGAGTGTAAAAAAGCTCTTGCCTGTAGTGTCAAATGACGGCCAGGACAGTGTCTGCATTGAGAGCTTGTAGACTTTGAAAATCAATATCAAATCAAGGTAAATCCATTTCCTTTCTTCAGCTCATTCACAGAAAACAGACAGTCGGAGGATTTATGTCCCAAAGATTTATATCAAGCATCTGTGCTGCAACGATGTGGATGAAAATCATCATACAGTCCTTTCATGATTACACACAACAAAACATTTAGATTGTAAGCTGTACATCAGATGAGCCAACGTGTTTCCTCGTTGCTCCTCTGGTCTGCTTACTGTTCGCTCCTGTGAGGATTTCCACAGAAAATCTTCCATCACACATTTATGGGCCTTCACTAAACACCAGCTAATGCTGGCACAAACAGTCACAAAGCCCAGGCTGATTCTTCACAGGCTGCTCCTTGCTTTTTATTGCTGCTCAGCTGACCTGCAGGGTGAGTCTATTTACAGATTCCACAGCAGAAATTCAGCACAACCCCAAAACCGAGTCTGTGTTGTTGCCAGTTTCTGATTTTAAAGAATACATTTCAGAAACTTCACAGCAGCATCCGAAGCTCAAACTTCAATTCCCTACATCACCTCTGCCAGACTAATCTGAAAGCCAGATATTCAGCAGAAGAGTTTTTTCCTTTGCGCAAGGAATCTGCAGAGTTTCGAGGTCTGTGTGGCCCGCAGACGACCTCTGAGCTGTGAAAATGTGACCCAGTTTCTCTTCAACCTTCAGGCGCTGTGTGACCTCGTGAAGACAGAAGGTCAACATGGTTTCTGTGGTCTTACTCAGCACTGACTCACATGAGGAGCAGTGGATTGTTTTGTTCCCTTTCTCTTAAATCCCATTAGCAATGCTCTAACATGTCTGTTGACTCTCAGCATATTCTTTTATTGATCCTCCTACTGGAGGCTCCATCTGTGGCCACAGTGAGTCACATTTTGCCCTCTTTTCCATCCTTTTAATTATGTAGTTGACTAAAATCTGCTTTAAGGCTAAAACACTGTGAGGTAAATATTGAACAGGGGCCCAGACAGACAGCAGCTGAACCCACAGTCCAACCACATCATTTAGTAACTGCTTTACGGTGTTTACAAAGCCACAAGTCAAATGTGTTTGCCAGGAAGTGGAGGTGGCAACAAGTGGCTACCAGGTTTGGATTGAGGCTAGTTAACAACTCCAAGATACAAAGATGTGATTGAAAGTATTTATTTATTCATTTTTTTAAATCAATGTAATTTCAAAATGTATTACTTTTTGTTTGAGACAGTAGAGGCTTTATTTATAAAATAGTTTTAAATGTTTATTAATGTTGCTAAATTTGGAATACTATTAGGTTTGGATTATAGCTTGTGATAAAACTATAATAATATATACAAAATATAAATATGATTTATGAAAACAGATATTAGTAAGTAACATCGTAGCACAAGTAAACCTTTATAGACAATGTACTTTTCAAATAAAATATTTCTAATAATACAGCCAGCTTTAAGTTGCTCCAAAACGAGCTCCCAGCTCACTGTTGATACACTGTAAAACCTGATGAGTTAGTCCAACCCAAATTCTTAGAGGTAACAGATTGTCTTAAAAGATTTAAATGTATTACCTCCAACTATTAAAGCATGAAAAAATATTTGATTTCAGTACAAGTTACTCAAGTTATTCATTGTTAAGGTCACTTGAGTAAATTAAGTTCATTGTACTGATTTAATTCAGTCAAGAACTCAAAACTAGTAAATATTTTACATATATTAAATACATAGATTTTCATATTACATTTTTATTTATTTAAAATGTGTTATTTATCTGAATAAAGTAAAAGACTACCTTTAATGCAAGTTATAACTTAAATTGAATTTACTTAGTTTTCTTATACTAAAGCAAATTATACCTATCAAAACAGCTGATGTATGACCAAAAAAAACAATTTACATTTAATACATTATCAAAATTGGCAGCCAGTTAATTTTGGGGGTTTGGGGCTTACATATATACCTTCAACTTAAAGAAAATTAATCAATGTAACAAACCGCACAAACAATGCTGCACAAAAGACTCAAAAGTTTCAGACAAGACAATTCATTTGAGAGTTGGGTTTAATCCATGGGAATGAGTGACTAAAATGTTTTGGAGAATTAGCTTACTACTTGTATTAATACACTGTATGTTGTTAGGTTTTACAGTTGACACAGTATTCCAAAGTAAAACTTCCTTTCAGAAGGCAACTCAAAACTTTATCAGTGAAGTGGAGGGAAATATGGGCTTTGGGGGATTCAAAATAGGAATGTTAGGAATGCTAGAATTAAAGATACTATTTTTCACAATTATAAGTTTCTAAATGTTTAAATTACATTTTTACTATACTTTATACTTACTATCTCATACCTTTAAGTTAAAAGTCATTTTTAAAAGACAAAATGGGGCACAGGAACACTCAAATAGGCTGCACATTAAGTTACTCCTGTACCATTTTTTCCATGGGAGTCTGGTGAGAAGCACCTGATTCATTGTGCAGATGCTCAGACGAACCTCTATTTTCCCATCTCATAATATTCAACTAAATTAACACTTTTAACTCATTATATCAGAATTTTTATTTTATTATTTTTACATCTTTACACACAAGTACCATTCTTTTCTCACTCTTTACATTTAATTTCTTTGATTGTTTTGCAGGAACAGAGGGGTAATAGTAGCTTGAATCAAATTATTAAACTTAACCTTAAGCCAAAAATAATACAGTAAGCCAAAACTCAAAATTATGATATCCAAATTGCATTTACTGTAACTTAAAAGTCTGACATGTTTTAAAGATTATCTCAAATTTGTGACTCCAAAATTCTGATTTATAGTTTATATTTTCATCACCCCTTACATTTAATCTATTTTTCTCTTGTTCTTGTGAAAACTGACTTACCTATAGATAATATGAATAAAAGTATATTTCACATATTGTTTAACGCATGCAGTGAGCCATGAGGTTGCAATTTCTTTATCACCCTGTAAAAACATGAAGTCATTGTTAGAATATTCATGATCAGCCAGACTTACTCGGTAGGGTGAATAATATGTCGTCCTTGTGTGTGCAGGTGCCGACAGAAAGCGCGGGCGGCAGACGTACACGCGCTACCAGACGCTCGAGCTGGAGAAGGAGTTCCACTTCAACCGGTACCTCACGCGGCGGCGGCGGATCGAGATCGCGCACGCGCTCTGCCTCACCGAGCGGCAGATCAAGATCTGGTTTCAGAACCGGAGGATGAAATGGAAGAAGGAGAACAGGGTTGCCGGGAGCGGCTCCCCATCTGCAGCTTTACCGACCGCTGAAGGAGAAGAGGAGGAGGAGGAGGATGATGATGAGGAGTAATAATAATGACTCTAACGGACACAAACAGTTGATTTTTGAGCTCTTAAGAAAAGTGACCTTTGCTCTGCAGTCAGGTTATCATTATATTATATTATATTATATTATATTATATTATATTATATTATATTATATAAGCCTCATCTCTAGATAGCTAATACAAGGTGGTAAAACAACATCCACATTTAGAACATAACCAAGATGTTTTTTGCTCCTTGTGTCTCTTAGTCCTGTCCTAAAAGTGCAGAAATGACCGCAGGGACAAGAAAAGCGTGTGTTCTATTGAGGCCTGGACATTTATATAGACTCATTGATGTTATATCTGCAGCAGAAAGAGAGATGCACTCAGTGAAACAGCAGCACTAGTGATTTCTGTGAATACAAAGCTTATTGGTAGTGTTCATTATACCTACTGTGCAAGGTAAGCCACACAGGGGTGGAATAGATTGTTAGCTGTGTATTTGTGTTATGCTATTAGAATATTAGACGCTATGAGGTTATTAGGCTCCACTCAATATTTTAGAAACACTGAGTCCAAATCCCCCCTCCTCAGAACCCCACCCACTTAAGAATTTTCTTTTTGTCTGGCCACCAACCAAACTCTACACAATTTCTGAGTATTTAAGATAAAAATCTGAACATTTTATACATTTTAGTTAGAATATCTGTTACTTTAATCTCCCTTATGGTCTAAATGTTTTATTCTTCTTCTCTACAGTCATGTATTTCTTGTGAAAAATGCTTCTTTGTTTGCCTAAGAACATGTACTTTATTTGGTCAAGTTGCCTTAAAAGAGCCAAAATGTTTAATATCACTGTATGACCTTGGTGCCATCAATGCTATCTACACAGCCCAGACTAGCACCAGTTTGCAATTGTGTTTTAAAAAGGAATATGGGTTTAATTATATTTCAATTATAAAGCTGCTGACACAAAAACACACTGTACATAAAGTACACAGAGTTAAATGCTGAGATACTTAATATAATAATTCATTTCAAACTTACAGAAGTATTTGATGGTGCAACCAGATAAAAGCTGCTCTATTAAACAACAGTAAGGCGATTTTTCATTCTATCGCTGATTTTAAAAAACATTTTTGCTGTTCACATGAAATTAAAAGGGATATTTGAAAGCCGGCCAATGACACCCTGTCTGTGTGAGTGTGAGCTATCTTCTGGAGTTCAGTTATCTCCTGGATTATATGCTTTAAAACTAATTCTAGGCTTGATTATGTGTTATTGTGTTGTAAGTGCACCAGTGTTTTCATGTTGTGTGAGCTATATAAATGCACTTTTTTTTCTTGTATGTATATAATAAAAAAGTTAACCACAATAAGCTTGTTGCCATGTCTCCTGTTTCATCAGTAAATATTGGCTAGCAACTGTTTAAGAGTTTCACATAGGCTATTTGTGGTTCTGCTGGAAGATAAAATGAAAATAATAAGACTACAGCCGCTATAGTTCTGTCAGTAATAATAAATAAATAAATAATAATAAAGACAGTTTAGGACAATAACAAGTCATCACTAAAGCTTTAAGATGATAATGCACTAGAAAATGTGTGCCTCAGCAGCACTTCTATCATGCAGTCACACTCCAGTTTGGATTTAGTTTCCATTATTCTGCCTTTGTTGGAATGAGCAGGAACAAGTCTGGGATCATTATCAAGTAGTTCCCCAAGATGAGATAGAGAGTCCATCCAGGACAGGCCCAGCAGATGGAGGATGTCTTCAGTTTTCATATTACTTTGAGCTCTCCCGAAACCAGAAGTCATTTAACAGAAGATAAATCAGATGTGAAAATTCACATGTGAGTTCAATTTGGGACCTATGTTTGATTTTCACAAGTGAAAATACCTGTTTGTACAAAGACATTCAGACCACATTTAAGCATATTGAGTTTTATATGAAAACTGTCTTTGTGTTGAAGCTTCTTTGTGTGTGTGTGTGTGTGTGTGTGTGTGTGTGTGTGTGTGTGTGTACATTTCGACATGTGGACATTGGCACTGCTTATCTAACAGCTTTAACTTCAACTATTTACGTTCACAAATGAAAAACGTTTACATTTGTTCATCAGTTAAAATGCTCTCCCAGAAGAGAGAGTATTGCAGGAAAAAATCCATTATACCACACGCACACACACACACACACACACACACACACACACACACACACACACACACACACACACACACTAGTTATTAAGTTCTAACCGTCCTTTATAGGTTTTTCACTTTGACTTGAGAGCGTAATCATGACTTGCACACATTATAAAGCACAGTAATGAGTGCCAATGCGCTCTTAAAATACCCTCACCTTGTTTACAGGTTTAAATGTATTAATGGGCTTTCACTCCCCACTGTTACAGCTATTAGCTCAATAGCGTTTCAGCATTTACACTTTGCGTCTTTATTTAGCAGTAGTGCAACCAGCGCTTGAGCTCCCATCATCCCCCTAAAAAAAACACAATAAATATATAATATTATAATAAAGAAGTATTTATGAACAAGATGACGTCTGTGAGTTTTGCTTTAAAGCGTCCGACAGCTTTTGGCTACATCTTTAACACTGACAGATGAACATGAATGTACCATTCCTGGCAATATTGATACTTATAACCAATTTTTTTTCTTAATAAAAGGCAGCTCCATCCGCTGATGAAGACCATGCGATGCGATTGAAAGCACACACAAAAAATACTGTAAATGGAACCTAAGTTAATCAGAGATTTTTCTGTTGGATTTTTTGTGTTTTTTGTGTTTTTTCTGAAACTGAGTGAAGCCTTTCTGCCCATCGGTCTCTCAGTGAAATGGTCTAATACAGTGAATACACGTAAAAATGCTGTGTTTTGGCTGTAGTGTATGCACATTTTACACAAATTGAATTTGACAGCACTGACACATCACTTCATTCTTCTGAACTGTACAAACAAATGGTACCGAAAAGCTCGTAGGAATTTTGTTCTGTAGTTCGATACTGGAGATAAAACATATTCTCTCTATATATAAAATACATGATGTCATTACCATCCGCAAATATTTGCTGCACATATGTTATAGAACTGAGTCAAATTTAAAAGGAAAAGCTAGAATAATATACTATACATGTTAATATGGAATTTTCCTTTAGCTTTTTTAAATAAAGGTGACCATGATGTTTCATCTGTCTCATTTGAAGGGAATTTTCGTTCTTCACATTCATTATCTTTGAAGATTTCTTAATGTCTGTGTTGTTTAAGACAAGAACAAGAGATTGATTTTTAAACTGTACTCCCTCCAGACAGCTCCCTGCAAACGCTGCCGAGCAGCTTTACTTCCCCCACCTTTTACCTGCTTCACTCTGCAGCTATTGTGCCAAAAACATCCAGGCTGGCTCCATTCAAGCTGTACAACTATCACCAAATCCGAACGAAATTTCTAGGAAATCCAACAGCTTCTGGAAGTCCTCGGCTGTCTGCAGAGACCTAAAAGAACAGATGAACTGGTGGAGGGCGATGGTGTGTGTTGGGGGATGTTATAGCAGGTCCTAATGTCTTTATTGCGTCCATGAAAAGGCCGGAAACCCCAATAAAAGCAACAAACACACAAAGAAAGCAACAGAACGTAGATCGAGCGGCCTGTTTGTGCCTCCTGTTCTGTGCTGCTTTATTTTCTGTTAAATTTTAACCCGGGATATTTGCATAGAGGAAGCGGTGGATCCTGCGTCTCCTGCCAGCCAGACACCGTGCAGTTTGGAAAGGTCACACGTGGGTCACTGGAGGTTTAAAATCAAGTTTTTAGGATTTCGAAAGGATACGAAGTAAATCTGTGCTGGAAACAGATTTTCTAGGAAAATCCAGGCGTTAGTTTAGCAATGGAGTGTCCTTTATTTAGTCTTGTTGATAGCAGTTTGGATAGACCATTTACGCAGACACTAACCCTGGCTTTATTCGTAAATGTCCCACTGTAGACTGGAGGCTTTATCATACAGATAGAAGAACTCGGTAATGAACAAAGTCTGAGCAAAGCAGATACAAGATGAAACAGCTGACCAGCTATATTGAGTCGCTGTGGGGATGAAATCGGATGTTGTGGTTGTTTAAATGTGACCACACTAGCATTTGTTACCGAGGCCTATTGGATTCGTTTTGGTATGCATGAGTTTCGGAAAATGTAGTTGTGAAAATATTACTTGGGACAAATTCTGTGTGCTCTCTTACTGGAGCAGAAACACGAACTGTCTGTGTCATACTGCATCAAAGTAGGCGGCTCTAGCTTATTTAAGATTCAGGATGCGTTGGATTTGGGCTCAGGTCCCTGCGTGGGAGGACAGGAACTTAAAATCAAGCAGATGCATTTAAACATTTGAATCAAGCAAAGGAACCCAATTCCCTATCCAAACATTGCAGTTAAAAGTCAGCTTCCGGTCTTTCAGGTGTGTCTTCACATCTCTCCTTTGAGGGGAAGTCCTCCTCTAACCGCTATGGACTGTTGTAAAGCAACATTTTGTGTTAAAGAAAACCTAAATCAGTGCGGTGTGTGAGCAGCTTCTCTGAGCATCCTGCGGCTCCTGGCCTGCAGGCCGTTAAAATGGTGACGCGTTGCCGCATTGCGAAACCGCTTTTACGCACGGCTTTTCAGGCCCCGCAGCACCACTCAGGTGATGTTGTTGTTGTGCCTGCAGATCGCCATCGAGGCAAATTTCACCTTAAAAGAGTGTCCCCCACCTATAGCTTAGTAGACACAAACAAGACGCCTCTGTGTTCACCCTGGAGCCTGCAATTCATTTATTAAAATTGCGCGTCTTACCAAATTAGGTGGTTGGTGATAGTGAGAATGTACATGTTAAATCCATGTTACTGAGATTTTGCCAACGCAGGCCACCGTTGTTCCCGGTGCAGCCACCCAGAGAACAAGACTTCACCTCGGAGCTGGTTCCGTTCAGAGACACCTTTATCCCGGATCTGCATCTGTTGGCCTGGCCGTCCTATGAGACACTGCGGAGGTTTACTCACTCCAGACACTGTCCCTCTGACAAAAACCACTGAATACTGGTGGTGTAAATCTTTCAGAAAATGCACTCTTCTGGTCGCATTAAAGGCTGACACTTTACATGGAAACATTTTTACATTCCAACAAAGGACTGTAAATACATACATATAAATATGATTCACAAATAATGAATATAGTGTATAGTATAATGAATATTCTTTATTCTGCGTTAGCCCTGCCAAATTGTGACACATACAGTCTGTCTTTTTAATCGTGTATGAGTTTTTTTTTTTATATTTTTTTTTGAATCATTTTGTGTTTGAATGTTAATAAAAATACATTTGAAAGCAGATTTCCAAGCTGGAACAAATCTCTGCCGAGGTGTAAGTACCACATCAGCAAGTGAATAAAGCAGCCTATTGTTAGCACAGCTTAAGAAACCCAGCACAGACACAGGTAAAAGGGAAATACAAACGCACAATGCTCCATTTCTTTCTTTTCTGTGTTTTGTGAGCTGCTAGCTTCTTGTTTTTACACAAGGGCAGAAGAAGAAAATGGCGGCGCAGAGAGTGAAAGAAAGAGAAGGAGCAGCTCCCCACTAACAGCTCTCCATGAAGAAATGCAATAAATTCCTTGTTGTTTTATGAAAATTTACAACTTTGAGATACAAGTTTATGAGTGGCCGCGCACGGGGATTGGCCGACGGGCTGGTCATGTGGACGCGCTTAACGTGAACATGAACTTTTTATGATTTCCCAAGTGGCTATATTGCGGCTGCACTCCGCTCCGGCCCGAACAGCCGCCTCTCCTCGAGCTCGCTCTGCCCGGGGCTCGCAGAGGCGCCGCGCGGAGCCCGGCAACCGCGAGGAAATGAACGCCCGGCTGTAATTAAACGGACTAGTTAATGAGAAGACTAGTTGTGAGCGTGGAAACCGGCACGAGGATACGTTGACAACAACCCGCTCCCCTCCCTGCCTCCCTCCCTCCCTCCCTCCTCCTCCCCCCGCTGCTCTTCCTCCTCCGCTATGGCTCCGCGCTTCGTCTGGTCTCGTGCTGCTGTCTACGCTAAATCGGCGGACCGAGATGGGGACAGTTCCGCTGTGATGAGGCGAAGAGGGGGCGAGCCGCGAGACCGAACCCCGGGAAAGCCGCCATCCCGGAGATGACCATCATAATTTTTAGTTTTAATTTCAATCCGACATTTTATTTAATTTGTCACTTGTCACCGCGAGGATGAGGATGATGATGATAAGGGCGGCGATGAAGATGACGGTGTTTTGAAGACTGGGTGACAACGGGGAGCCTACCCCCCACCCTTCCAATTCCTCCTCCTTCTCCTCCTCACCTCCTCGCGCCGCCACCCCTCCATCCAATTATCATCCATCCATCCGGTCTACACACGGTAGGGCTGTCTCGTGCCATTCCGGGGTGCTTGGCTGCCTGCGCGCGGGACACCGAAGTGAGCTGCAGGTGTGTGGGGCTCGTGACGGATTATCAACAAACGGTAAGAGAGACCCTTCATGCACGTTCCTCCTCCGGCAGTCCCGCGCGCGCTGCTGCATGCGCATTGGTAAAGGAGCAAAACAAGTGGGAGCGCAGTGCTCTGCGTGATTCTGCTGCTCCTGGTTCATACATTAAGGTTACAAATGAGGTGTTACTTTCCCATCTCAGATTAAAGCGCTTCCTCGCCGGTTTAGGCTCTGTGATGAATTATCCAGATGAATTGGCTCTCTAAGTGCTGGGATTAGCTGCGGAAGAGCCAGCCATCGGTTCAAACTCGGCTCTTTGAGATCCGGAAGATTATCTTTTTTTCTGTGTTGTTGCCCCGAGCCGTGCACGGTGTACGGAGGGAGGGGGTAGATGTGAGAGTGAGGCTGGCTTTTGATGTGAGGGCAGGTGTGCTGGATTTGTCATTTTAAAGTCATTTGTTTTATTCTACATGTAAAGAAAACAGACTTGAGTTTGTGCATCTGTTTTATTGGCTGTGTTCGTTGCAGGTAGACTGTGAACTGCAGTCCCTCAGGCTGTCTGGGTTTCTAGCCTTGCTTTTGTGCGCTCGGTGTGCGTGCATTTTAATTGTTTCACTTCCAGATCTCAGTGGAAGAGCTTCCAGGTTCCTTCAGCTGATTGACAGCCTGAGTGTGTTTGTGTGTGTGTGTGTGTGTGTGTGTGTGTGTGTGTACAGACACAGGAATGTTTTTCTGTCTCGGTTCGTCCAGCCCACTTTTATGACTTTGTTTCCCTTCTCATTTCCTCCCTGCGGCGTGCGGGCTGTTTTTTTTTCACAGTTAGCCAGCCAGGACACCGCCCAACAACACCCCCACCACCAATAACCCACACTCACAAACACATCTGCAGGTCTGTCTGTCTGTCTGTCTGTCTGTCTGTCTGTCTGTCTGTCTGTCTGTCTGTCTGTCTGTCTGTCTTTTCTTTGGTCTCCAATTTGTTGCTGTCTCAAATATCAAACAACTCCACTGGAGGGAATCCCTTCATCCCAAACACACACACACACACACACACACACACACACACACACACACACACACACACACACACACAGAGGAAGGTATTTTGGCCTGAGAATAATTCCTCAGAATTGAGTTATTTTTTTGCCCACCATCTCTGCACCTTTAGAATATTGCAGCACGCCAGTTGATCTTGTAACTGTTGAATGTTTGGATTCTCTCTACAACTGTGTTGGATAGCACCCATCTCCAGATTCATGGAGGCTAGGCCTGCTATGGCTAACAGCTACAGGATCAGAGGCAACTGACACAGCTCACTGTCTCACAGAAATAAAACACAACTGTTTACACTTATTATTATTATTATTATTATTATTATTATTATTTGTATAACTATTGTGTGTTTTGTTTGTTGTTAGAGTAGTATTGACTACTTATATTGTGTGCAGGTAAATGGAGATTCGTTACAGGGTGTAGATCTGATGTAGAAATGATTTCCTATGACCAGTAAATAATCTCTGGTGGTTATCTGTCTCAGGAAAGCTCACAGTTTTAGTGGAAATTTACAGTAAACAATAAACAATATGAGGTCTTCATTAGCTTTATCTATGGCATTATAGGTTCGAATTCAATGTGTTGGATAGCTTTGGATATCCGCTGGCCTCCGCTACACCTCCCTCATTATGTAGGTGAACACGGACAAGCGGTGATATACATCAGTGAACACCTCATGGAAAGACTGCTTGATTTTCTGGTGAAACACTCTGCTGATCGCTACCTATAGGGAATATACTCTACAGTGTTCATTTGAAAGCAATACAGCAACGTTTCTTCCTTTCTGAGCCAATAAATAAATGATAAAGTTGTCACCAGTTATTAAAAATATAATCATATGATAGGAAAATAATCTAAAATGACAGATACAGTGTGTAACAGTGTCTGACTGCTTTGGCTTTAGTATGTATCAAATAATAGGCTATATCTGCCCGCTACGTTTCCCATAATAATAGTAATGTTGGCTCAGTATTTTTTATCTTTCATTTAGAATTAGTATCATATTTTTGTCGCACAAGACAAAGACGTCAATATTGGACAATTCTGCAAAAATGTAATTAGATTTCTTTACGTGTAATGCCATGGTTTATAAATGCTGAATTTAATTTCTGCGTATAGAAATGATATGCTCTTAGGCTTTAAGCAATCCGGCAAATTGCATAAGGCCTAGTTTATTAACTTTATGTTCAATCCTTCAGTTTGCTTTTCTCATGTTTAAAATATATTTTCTGTGTGGGTGTGTTTGTGTGTGTCTGAGAGAGATTAACGAGGAGTAGCCTAAGAACAAAGACAGAGAAACGCAACGTAGCGCCTGCTCAGCTCAGATTTAATTCTGTCAATATGGACCTGGAAATAGTTGTATCAGATATAAAAACATCATGTATATATATGAATTTTAAGTATAAATCTTGCTTCAGAAGATCTACTCAGTCGTCGAACTCAATTAACAGAGGAAGGTTACACAATTGACTTTGAGTCTTTGCAATTCATTTTTATTGCCGCTGATTGTTTCTGTTTATAGTGCTGTAGTAAAAGCGGTAATTGTTGTTGTTGTTTATGTAATAATAATAATAATTATTTTTGTATTATTCATAATTATTAATAATAATATTAGTATTAGCTTATTATTGGCTAATTCTGTCAGAAGCTGCAGTTCAGTCTCATTTCAGGCTATTATATTAGGATTATATATTAACATTTTAGTATTACCAGTGTGTGTGTGTGTGTGTGTGTTTGTGTGTGTGTGTGTGTGTACGTGTATGTGTGTGTGTGTGTGTGTGTGTGTGTGTGTGTGTGTGTGTGTGCAATAACAGTCACGAGGCTCAAATCAAGTTTTTAAGTTTATTTATATAAATATGCATTTGTACAACTATGTTATTCATATACACGCATGTACATTCATAACCCTAGTATAGAGCAATACAAAGTTGCATCACATGCAGTCTATTTAAACAAGGCATTTCCTTCCAGATACAGCCTAGAGGCGATTAAAATAGAAATTTCACTAAAAAATAAAACAATATCACATGTAAATACCGTAACAATATGATACAAACTGTGGAGGATTTGGGCTTTGTATTGTGGAGGAAACCAGGCTCAGACATGAAGAACAGCGCAGCCAGAGAGCGGTGGTCACACTGATGTCCAGGCTGGACCATGCTGCTGTTCGGCGGCGGTGCTCACACTGAGCCGCCCAGCAGCCCCGACACGCTCCTACAAAACGCTCTGGTGCCATCTAGCGTCGCGTTGGTGACAGTACCAAACATTCACTCACAAACACACACGCTTCATCCTTCAGGGTACTCGTCAAAGACTCGTGCTCGCAGGCTATGCTTCCTGGCGTCAATGCTGAATGTGTCTCTGTCGTCGATCGAAGGTGTGATGTGCTGTTGGCAACGTGTGTGTGTGTGTGTGTGTGTGTGTGTGTGTGTGTGTGTGTGTGTGTGTGTGTGTGTGGTCTGCATTGTATTAGCTGTTGACAAACTGATGATGTGGCCGCGACTTTACTTTTTTGTCCTGTTTGAAACCAGACCTGACATGGCAAGAGGCAAGGGAGCGCGTGTGTGTGCGCGCACATGTTGGTGTGGGTACAATTTGCCTTTTGTCTTACTGGTTGTTGGCTTCTTTCTTTCTTTCTTTGGTGGAAACGCAGAGAGAGACAGATTTGTGGCATGGAGGGATAGAAAGAGGCAGGAGCTAAATTCTTCCCCTCTCTCCCCCAGGTTAGGCCTGGCTGCTGTTACGCTGTGGTGAGTGAGGCGTGGAGAAATCCACGAGCGCACAAAGTTCTGTGTGTGTGTGTGTGTGTGTGTGTGTGTGTGTGTGTGTGTGTGTGTGTGTGTGTGTGTGTGTTCGCGCGCGCGTTGGGCCCTAGGAAACAGAACTTTATAGGATGTAAAATTTGTGCTGATTGGTCAGGGTCGCTGTTTCGATAAACAGAGGCTCCATTGTGCGCGTGCGTGTGCTTGTAGGTGTTGGTGTTGGTGTAAACATAATAACTCGTCCTTGCTCTGTGATTTTATCATCTTTACTGGTTCCTCATCTGCAGATCTGCTGTGCAACCCCCCGTATATATGCATCCAGGAGTGTGTGTGTGTGTGTGTGTGTGTGTGTGTGTGTGTGTGATGATCACTTGAAAGAGCCCTGTGCAGGGAAGGCGCGGGGAGGCAGTAACGTACAGAGTTTAATTTATGACTCCAGCATCATCTGACTTTAATCCGGCATTCAAAATCAACTTCAGTGCATTAAGATCAGATGGAAAATCAATATTTTGCATTCTCTCGTCTATCTCTTTTCTACTCGACAGCCAAACACCTCAATTGGATTTTCTGTGTACTATCAGGGCGGTAGAATCAGAGGGGAATTCCACATTATTATTCAGCTGTATAAACGATTCCAGTGCAGCACCGTGTTCATACAAAGCAGCCACATGTGCTATTGCACGTCCCTGCATGCTGCAAGCTCAGAGGTAATAAGTGAAAGTTTAATTAAGCTTTAAACACCTTAAAACTAAGATAAGGGTACTACTAGTTGTAAGAAATATACAGTAGGCTATTAATTCACAATAGTACAAATACTAGTAGAATATATATTTTTCTGTTTTTATTTGAACTGCAATAACACTTTGTTTTGTAACATGTTGTATGATTATTATATAATTGTATTATATACCGTATGTTTCCGATGGACAGGTGTATTCTTTATTTAGCAGAGACTGCATTCGTTAATCTTTAACTCGTCCCGGGGCCCTTGTGTGGCCTGGTGCTCGCGCCGACCGGTAACGGTCCGGTGAACTGACCCAGAGCACGAGCTCACGGCTGCGTGAAGGACACGGCCAGCCGGCTCGCGCTGCCTGGAAACGATTAATACATTAAAACAAAAAAGCACTAGTGAGGCAGTTTCTCTCGGTTTCTCATTAACTACTGCAGGAGAGGTCGGCCAGCGCGCACACACACACACACACACACACACACACACACACACACACACACACACACACACACACACTCTGCTTCCTATTGAGTGTATTGAGCTTTAAACCCGTGAACAAACCTTTACATTCCTGTAGTTAAACAAAACTTTTCCTCTTTTCCGGACATGATTCAGCGAACGGAGGATCCACTTTCTAATTTAAATAAGTCACAGCCTATTCTAAAATCTTTATAAGTCACAGCCTATGTAACAGTTACCGCCTTTGAAGATATTCATTATTTTAAAATTATAAGGTGATAAGAAGACTTCTTAATGTGTCTTTCTTTTACCTAATGCTGTGTGTTTTGAACGATTTTCCAATTTTAAGTAAGTCAAAACACATTTGTGTTTAAAGTTAATACATGTGGGAAATGTAAGTTTTTCAATTTACAAAAAAGATATTAGCTAGCTATATTATAGATATATGGTTGTTTTGAAATTAAGCTGCAATATCAACCCTACCTCCTCTGTCATTAAAAAATCAGTGTAGTTCTGTCTCTGCAATGTTTGAAATTAAATTCGGGGTAAAAAAAAAAAAAAAAAACCCCATCGTCTAAGTCAATAAAATAAATAGCAACGGTTTAATTTCATAGACCGTTAATTATAATTATTTCAAAATGCTTGTTAATAATACTGAGTGAAATGCAGGCGATTTGAGCATTGCCGGGGCTGAAATGAACCGCAGATGAACTGTACAATGCCCGTGTGTGTGTGTGTGTGGGAGTGTGCACGCCGTTCCTTGTGTGCAGCACAGCACATTTGTTCATCTGCTGTTTGCTGCGGGCCTGTTTTTCAGTTCGTCGCCATTCCTCGGACTTTACAAGGAGTCATAAACGGTCATAAAGCCATAAAAGTCCCGAGGTCCCACTCTCTGTGTCACACACACACACACACACACACACACACACACACACACACACACACACACAGGGGAAAAAGAGCCATAAAGCAATAAAACAGCAGTCTGACTCCTTCAGCTTTAATTGTCGATAATCTCTGAAGTTTCTTAGATTCCTGGAGTTCCTTCAGCAGCTCTTAACTGTTTACACTGCGGCTCAATCACAGCTACACCGGGGTGATTTACTGCGCGGGGATAGAGGGGCTTAAAACCTGTATCCGCCAGGAGAAACCTCATTATTATTATTATTATTATTATTATTATTATTATTATTAGTGGTGGTGGTGGCTGTGGTAGTAGGCTATGCTCGTTGTTTTTCGTAGCCTAGTTTTTTTTTTTTATAGCAGCATAATAGCAGTAAAAGTGACATTATTGATATATTTTAGTCATTTTAATTATCTTATTTTTCACCCCAAAAATGTTCATCATATTACTGTGAGCAAAAAGGCCAAGACTTTAGTCCTGTAAGGTAACATCTTGCGTCACAAAACCCAGTGTTTTCACGCGGCAGACTGCAGCTATGTAACAATAAATGCTCTTAAAACAAGGCCAAAAAGGGACCAACTGTAGTAGGCTACAGCGACATTTACTGTTTTGTAATAAACGCCTACGGTAAGCAGGGGGGTTCAAATCTGCTCATAACAGGAGGGAACGGCAAACAACACAGTGACAGTTAGGGCCGCCTGACAGACTGTCTCCCTTTAAGGTATGTCTTACTATTATCTCTCCATGTTTCTGTCCTCCACTCCCTCACATAAACTGCTGCCTCCAACCGTACACACTCTCCGGTTCTCATTTAGCAAACGCTTTCCGGTGCCGAGTCTTCCTCTCTGACCGCCACACACCTGCAACCACAAACAACATGGAGCCCATTAGCACGAGGCTACACAGACAGCTAGCATGTAGGCTTACTCTATGAATATTTCAAGGCGGTCACATGACACTGTAACAGGAGTGAAGGCACATTGTGGCCCTCAAGTTGTGCTGAATGAAGCAGTAAGTCACATTCGCCTTATGACCCTGTTTGAGTCTACTGCGGCTAATGCGTGAGCTAATATTCACGTTTTCTAAGTGCGTGTGTCATAATAGAGTTATTAATGTTTACTTCCGGTAATCAGCCGGATTCCTGTGTATCTATAGGCTATGCCTCACTGATGAGCCTCCGCCTGGAGTTATAGAGTTTAAAATGAATATGTAGACATAATATTTATGTCTATAATTATCATGCTATAACGTTTAGCTGTATCTGGGTTTTGGTAAAAGGCTTATAGGCCTGTTTTAAATGATTATAAATGATGTAACTAGGTTAGGCCATAGCAGGCTATATCTTTAATGTAATAACACCTAAAAGAGTATGTATTTTTGAATAGACTTTCATGTGGCTGCTAACAGTGTTATTACCTTACATCTGCACCTGTTATCAGTTTAAATGTGTCGGTCCTGTTGGACTTTAAAAAGAATGTCTCATGGCCTAACCAACCATTCAAATGCAGATTATATGTTACTGAAGCAGGATGGGCTAACATTATCCAAAACAGCCCAGCCTCCATACTTATGAAGTGTTATAAAACTTGACAATGCAGCATTTGCTAGAAACACTAACCTCACCTGCCGAGGCCTGTCATTTATTTACAGTTTAATTCAACACATGGTAAACACGTTTTAACAGCATATCAATCCAGTCTAGTTGTTTTACACAGCCCAGCTCTTATTCTGTGTTGGCTCTGACTGCTACACTGGATAAATCTGAATATGTCACTCTTCTGTCAGAAAGTCATATTTACCCTGCAGGCTGCTGAGCAGGTACCACTGACATTATGCCCAAGCCACAATCACGTTAAAAGCTAACGTGCTAATGCATATGGGCTGTATATATAATAATAGCATTACCGTCCTGTGTGTGTGTCCCAGGCTGTAGGCCATGCCTGTCCTGTCCTGTCCCGACTGTTAGTGCTCATTAATGATTAAACCACAGTCAGCTCCAACACAATGCTGCTGCTTCCCGTTCCCACAAAGCGGAGAGGAAGCGCCGCGTCCTGCCAGGGAGAGAGAGAGAGAGGGGAGAGAGAGAGAGAGAGAGAGAGAGAGAGAGAGAGGGGTCAAAATGAAAGTTAAAAAGAGAGATTCCCCATCTGTCTGCGTGATCCTGCACAGAAAGCGAGAGTCGAGGATTAAACGTATTATCTGTCTCCCAGCTCTGAACAGTGTTACTTAAAAAGAGAGAAGACATGGAGGAATGGACGAGGAGGGTGGGAGGGTGAAGTAAAAGTAAAAATAGAGTCTTTGTCTCTATTTGTCAGTCGGACTGTCTGCAGTTTGGCCATGCAGACAAGTCAGAGCCTGTAGTAGACAGAGAAAGACACAGAGAGGGAGACTTATTTATGGCTGCGGTTATTTTACGACCTCGGCGACACATATTCCGTTTGTAAGTGCGAATGAAAAGCAGGCCGACTGAGCTTTTCTTTTTTTCTCTCCATCTTTCCTCAGAGGTTAGAAGAAGAAGAAGAAGAAAGGGGATAGTTGTGGAACGAGAGAATATTAGTGATTTCAGTTATTTGTCTTTCATAATTTAATACCTCGAAAGTACAAAATAGGCCTAGTAGTAGGCTACTCAAGATGTGTGTGTGTGTGTGTGTGTGTGTGTGTGTGTGTGTGTGTGTGTGTGTGTGTGTCCACTGCTTCTTTAAATTTCAGATTCAGAATTTCGAAAAAACACAAAAACTATTTTGCTAATATTAGCCACAATGACATCATAATAGCGCATTAATTAGCCGTTAAGAATACCTCTGAATATCTATAAATTATTTTGGTGTATTTAAATGAATTTGTGTCATGTAAATATCAACTCTATCATGTAAAATTACATTTATGATGTGAATAAAAAATGTTTAAATTATTAACACACTGTAAATGTATTTTTTCCATCGTGCTTCAATGACCAATTGTGTGAGAAAAAATAAAATAATAATTACATAATATAAAAACCTCTGCTTGTTTTTTAACTATACATTTTATATATTTAGTTTCACTGTTTATTTTTGTTTTTTATTAAAAAAAAAAGAAGTAGCCTTTGTTTTTATTTGTATGAGCAATTTAGGCCTAATAATTTGTAATTAATGTTATTAACTCATAATCTTTTTTTTCTTATATAGCTGAATGCGTTAATGATAGGCTGCAATATATGAAAAAGTACTTTTTTAAGTTGGTAGCATGTGTCCTTAGGCTATATCTCACTTGAATATGTGTGGCCCCCGTGGAAAGAGTTTCAGGCGCGAGGCTATAATCAGTGTCAAGAAAACGAAAAAAATGGGAAACTTTGAGACTGTTTCCTTTCTTCTCCTCCTTTTACATTTCAACCCAATCAGTGTCACAGAAGAAGAAAATAAGAATTCATTGCACACATTGATCAAACTGGACCTGGTCCTGCAGAACACCGCAGCCCGGAACTAACACAGTGTACCATTTATACAGCAGGACACGGGACCAGCAGCGTCATCCGGCCGGGTTATCCTTTATCAATAAAACATGAACAGCTATCAGATTATGTTGAGAAAATCCCTTCCAGATTATCAATTACTCCTCCGATGGACCAAAAAAAAAAAACCACGATGAAAAGCCTGCGGTAAGAAGAGGACACACACACACACACACACACACACACACGTATTGACCGGGGTGGGGGGCATAAATCTACCCACAGACCCAAATATACCAATTAGAAATGTACAAACACCTCAATTATAGACGTGCATAGCCCACATTATACTGTAGGCTCACACACACTCTCACACACACACGGGACCACACATGACTGCGCGCTCCCGGCTGTGATTTACGCTCGCCAAATTCATTTTAATGCGGTCGGTATTATCTGCAAAGCGCCGGGAATATGTTTTATTATTGGGTTGCCTCTGGTGGTGCAGCAGCTACCCCCCGCCCCCACCCCCCACCAGCCCTCTCGAGGAGGGCGCGCGTGCGTGTGTGCGAGCTGCTGGTTTTTATGGGTCCAACAACAGACGGAGGAAGACACGCAGGGGGAGAAAGAATCAATTTAACGCGCGGAGGATTCCGGTGTGATTGCGCAATCTCACCGGGAACCGGAGGAAGATTAGAAGGAGAGATTGAATGAGAATTAGAGAGAGAGAAAGGGGGTGGGAGATTGAAGAAGGGAAATAGGAAAAAGGGAGAGAGGTGGTGGGGGAGAGTGGGGTCGCGGTAGTTCCCAGTTCCCCCCCCCCCATCTCCTCTTCTTCCTCCTCTTCTTCCTCTCTCCAACGAAAGGAAAGGGGGCGAACGAATGCCAGGCACGGAAGCTTCCCATTGGTCAGTTTGAGGTCAGCTGGTCTCTGCCTCCCCCCTTATACCCCTCCTCACCCCATCCCGTCTTCTCCACACACATATACACAACCACACACACACACACACACTCTCTCTCTCGCTTGCTCTCCCCCCTCTCTCTGTCTCTCTCTCTCTGTCCCACACTGGCACTCAGCCACCCAGATACCCCTTCCCCTCCTCTCACCCTCACCCTCCTCACCCCCTCCTCCCAATCTGCGATAAACTAAGTGATAGCAGCAGCCCGTCGGACTGTCGGCTATAAAACACAACAAATCATAAAGTGCAGGCAGGGGAAGGCAGAGGCAGGAGGACGGGAGGGAGAACCGTTAGCCGTTAGCCGTTAGCCTCCTTCTACTCCTCCTTCTTCTTCATCGCGTGAACGTTGTTGTTGTGTTTGTTTCGTGCCCTCCTGTCCTCCCCTCTCCTCTTCTTCTCCTCTCTTCTCTTCTCATCCTTCTCCCCCAATACTTTCTCCCGATGAGTTCCTATTTTGTCAACTCCTCTTTCCCGGTGACGCTACCGGGAACGGGTGGAGGCGGGCAGGCGGCGGCGGAGTCGTTCCTGGGTCAGATCCCGCTCTACTCGTCGGGGTACGCCGCCGACCACCCGCTCAGGCACTACCCGGCAGCCGCCGTTACCGCTGCCGCTGCCGTGGCGTACGGCGCAAGCGGCGGCGTGCACCAGGATAAACCGTACTCGGCGTCCACCTATTACCAGCAGGCTGCGAACGGAGGGTACGGCGGGCACCGGGCGGCGGCGGGAGTCGGTGTAGGGGGCGCAACCGGAGCCGGTGCCTGCGATTATGCTACGGCGGCGGCAGCGGCAGCTGCAGCGGCGGCCACGAGTTTCTACCGGGACAAGGAGCACCAGTGCAGCCTGGAGGAGCACCAGCTCGCGCTGAGCCAGGACGGCATTCACCGTAAAGCGGAGTGCGCGGGGCTGAGTGGGAAAGGGCTGTTCGGTGAAACGATGGACGACAAGCAATCATCAGCACCCATTTACCCGTGGATGCAGCGGATGAACGCGTGCAACGGTGAGTGTCGTCTTCTTCCTTTTCCCCTCTTTCTTTGCATATTTTATGATCCCCGTCATAAAACTGACGTTTGTTTCCTCTGTCAGCCCCTCTGCCGTCTTTCCTTGCTCCCTTTCCTCCTCCTCCCCTCCCAGTAGCTGCTTTATGATCCCCGTTTGTTGGCCTGTCAGTCAGTCATGTGCTCGGTATTTTATTGTCCGTCATAAACCGGGTTTGTTTGGGTTGTGGCTCCTGTTACTGTATGTGACCTGCTGACCGACGCTGCTACCGAGCAGGGGGAAGGAAAGTTGAGAGGAAGAGCCTGTCAGAGAGTGTTGTGGGTGAAAACAAGGCAGAGATAGAGAGACAGATAGACAGAAGAGAGGAAACTAAAAGCATGCAACCCCTATAGACAGTTATCTATTTAACTGTCTCATTCTTCTTTTTACTGTTTTTAAACGGTATTCTTCTTTCAAGTTAGTCTGCCTGAAGGCATGAATTAAAAGTAAATAAAAAAATAAAATGCTTCCCCACCTGACATTTAAAGAGAAAACACGCTCTTTTCTTTTTACAAACTTTTCCCATCCCACTACTGATAAAGAAAGAATGGTATCACAGCTCTCTTATCTTGTATGGAGGCTGCACTGTTAACCTTGCACCGCAGACAGTGCTATACGCTGTTTATTCATAACCGAACAGATTAGATATTAGAGCCATAATCAGGCCTTCAAATGCTGCCAAGTTCGGAGAGAAAGTGAGACGTGCAGGGCCAGCTTGAAGGGGACTAATTTGATTTATTCGACTGCCCAAATAAGCAATGGTCTGTCCTGTTTTACACTGTTGTGTGAATTAAACTAAAGTATACGAAATTATTGTTGCGAGCTTCTGCAAAAACCCGAGTGTCTTTGTTTAACAGAGAAAAACGGCCTGTTGAGAGTGCAGTGAGTAATGGCGGATGATGCAGGGCTACTGTTGTACAAAGCCCTGCAGGACACTCCGAGTTATGACAGATGAGGTGGAAACAGGCTCCGCCGCAAAGAAATATATAAGGAATAAAAACGCAGCAACGTGGGCTATAAATGACAGTTGAAGATGTAAATGGCAGCTTGAGAGAGAACAGAGTGGCAGAAAAAGAAAAAAAAAACCCTGAGTGCTCCGCCATAATCCGGTTTGGCGGAGTTTTTATTTATGGATATTTAGATATGTGCCCTGAGCAGCGTGCGGTTTTCCATCCATGCTCTCTCCGCCTTTCAGATCGATACAGAAGCTGAAGCTGCTAAACTGACAACATGGCGATTTGTTTACCACCGGGGGCCAAAATACTGTTAGTGAGGATCAGAGGAGACTAAAGCCCTGCAAGCTGATACTGACCGGGGGGAATACCATCTGGAACAATATCCATACTGTCCTTACTTTTATTATTATTTGACTATTATTATATTATTGTTATTATTATTATTATTATTATTGTTATTATTATTATTATTATTAGGCTATTATTGTGAAAGTCTGCGAGAAATTTTGAACAAGGTGTTTCTTATTTCTCCACTGAATGCTGCTATTCACCAGCAGCGACATTGAACTGACATTTTCTGAAGTTAAATAAATAGATGGGTTGTTATTTTTTTATTGATGGCGTTTTATTTTAATTCCACATAAAGTCAACATGATAACTCCAACATTCAGCAAAAAGAAAACAAGTGTCTGTTTCTCCAGGACTGGATGAACATTTAATTGAAGTGATGGTAAAATATGGAGTTAAATAGACTGTGCAGAAGCTAAATGTCAGAAACGTGCACTTTTAGAAAGACACCGAGGACTGGGGAACTGATTAACTGATACATTCAATTCTAACTTTATTGATCCCAACTTGGCAGGTGGGGAACAGAATAAATGATATGAAACAACGGGTGTAAAAGCAACAAAGCAATCAGGTTTCAGACTTTTAGAAGAGAACTGAATAAGACAATAACAGACACAGATGTTTTTTTTAGATTGGATTTGAGATAGATTTTACTTTGGATAAAATGTAACTTTCTCTCTCCTTCCTCCTCTAAGGGACCTTTGGCAGCCCCGGGAGGCGCGGGCGGCAGACGTACACGCGCTACCAGACGCTCGAGCTGGAGAAGGAGTTCCACTTCAACCGGTACCTCACGCGGCGGCGGCGGATCGAGATCGCGCACGCGCTCTGCCTCACCGAGCGCCAGATCAAGATCTGGTTTCAGAACCGGAGGATGAAATGGAAGAAGGAGAACAAGCTGATCAACTCCTCTTCCTCCTCATCCTCCTCCTCCTCTTCCTCCACGGTGAACGGCACGGAGGAAGAGGAGAAACGGACGGAGTGAAAGAGGAGAAACAAACTGATGTGAGACACATAAAAGAGGAAGAGGAGGGTGGAAGAAAAGACATGCTGGTTAATCCCTTCCCCTCCCCGTCTCAGACTTGGTCCAGACTTTGGTCTGGTGTGAAAACTCTGGGAAAAAGTAGCCTACATTTTATTTTATTTTTATTTTTTTACCGGAGCAGGGGTGAAACGTGCTAGAGAAGTAAGAGGGAGAAGTGGAACCATATTTTAACCCCTCTAATATCGCCACCCACCAAAAAAAGCTATCCAACTGCGTATAAAGGCTGAATTTGCATCTCTGTGTGCTCTATAAAAAAAATAGGAAATCATTGGAGTCTTGAGATGGGACCGTTTACTGCGGAAAGAACTGAACAAAATAAGAAATAAAAAAGAGAAACAAGAGCATAAAAAGAGAGAGGGGACGGTGGGACAGGCTATGGCATCCGAAGTGTATTTAAGAAATACATTAAATAAGTATCCTGTCGGCCAACGGTGACTGTCTTTAGACACAATTTCTTGTTGCATTCCAAGAAAACCACCTAACTTCTTATTCTACTTAGTTTTACTTTTGTCAGATGTACTTCCTGTCTCGCAGGCACTTGTTTTGAAGCTTTAGGACTCGACTTCGGGCTGTTTCATCCCGATTGTTATTTTTCTTCTGATTTCCTAAACGTGTTGTGTGTATTACCTTCAATTAAACGTGCAAACACGATCATACACACAACAATGCGGGGAGGAAAAGCTATTTGAGAAGTGTATGTATGTCATATGGTGTTCATATTTAAACTGTATAGAAATAAGCAAGGAAAAAATCACCTTGTACGGTGGAAATAATGTAATTGGGGGTGGGGGTGGGGGTGGGGGTAATTTAACCTTTCCAGCTGTTTTACTTTTCCAATATAGAGGGGGCGCGCGGGAGGGGGTGTTAACCTACTGATGTTATTCTCCAAACTACCTAAAAACGTTCAGGAAAGTGTATATTTTATGGATTTTTACATTGTTTGTTTATGTTAGTGTTTTTGTCAAGTAATTACGTATACTACCTATGAGAAATGTTCAATAAAATGTAAAGAAATGTATGGAGAGAGGTTGTTTTTATTTTTGTGGGGGAGGTTGTTGGTTGATAAATGATTTATTAATTAATTAAACATTAACGAACAGGGACATTTTAGTTCCAACAGTGAACACCGAGGAGTAGAACCTGTTTTATTCTATGATTTACTGGCCTACTTAGATCCGCGCATTCACACTCGCCAACCTGCAACCCTCTTATTCCAAACATGCACGCACATATTTACGACGCGCGAGGCGAGACCGAGGCCGGGGCCAAGTAAGCGCACGCGGCGGGTCCGGAGGGGAAGTGACAAGGGGCGCGAGCTGCTGCTGATGGCGGGCTGAACTAATTGATGGCCAGACCGCGGGAGAGAAAGTTGACCTGTCCTCGAGCCGGCCAGCCAGACACGTCACACATATACACACACACTTCACCCAGACAAAGTGGACAATGTCCTCGTGACCCTTTGAACTCCGCTTGTCCCCTGAGTGACCGGCGCGCGGGTTCCTTCTCCGGGCAGCACAGGCCCGGGTTTCAGGGGTGCATGCGCGTGAACGCAAAAATACGCTTTTTTTTGGTCCGTTAACTTATCTCGTGAAAATAATCCCATAAAACACATAAACAGAAAAGCCGCCATTAGTTGGTATAAGAGCCGCTCTGTAATATATGTGGTATATTCATAATTAGCTTAATTTTAACTTTACGTTAATAAAGTCGACTGATAGAAAATATCATAGTGAAATGTCATCCAGTTATAACACTCCTAATCATTGTGTATTTTCTAAATGACACGCTTTAATAACGTTACCATAAGTGATATCAAATGCATATGAGTTTACCAACAGCATACACCAATGCCAACTTTAAATTATTATTATAGCATGTGCCTGTTGGAGCAACTAATCCGCTGTAAACCTCCAGCTCACTCAATGCTCGTCCTCTACTTGTAGTCCTGACTATATTAAGTTTGCTAATAAAAGCCCTTTCAGTTGTAGGATGTACTGCCAAGGTACTGTAATAGGTGGCATGGGTTGCCAGTAAATAATTAATACCACACTGAGGAAATAAAATATTTGCAGCAGCCTGTGTGTGTGTGTGTGTGTGTGTGTGTGTGTGTGTGTGTGAGAGAGAGAGAGGCAGCGAGTTTAAATCTAATATGATTTAATTCGGTGCAATAAGCTGATGGATGCTCACTGTTGTTGTGCAGCGAGTTCAATATCCACAGACAAAAACAGAATTCTATTCACCAGCAGAATATTATACGGCAAAGCTAAAGCAATGTAACAGACGGATAACTTGATCTAGCTTGTATTGGCTTCCTTTTTTTGCCTCTGACCCTGCCAGGGTTGGTGGTTCGATTCCCGCAATGAGAATGTCGGCTGTAAGGTGAACTGCATGATGGCAGATGTTCTATGTTAAACACAGTGGAAATGGTTTCACTGTGACCCAGAGGGCTCATTTTACCGACCAACACACACTAACTGCACACACACGTGTTTGGTGTTTTTATATCTTTGGCAAAGAATGTAATGGTTTTTTATTTTGTATGCTCTATATGCTCCTCTTAAACTCTTGTTCCTCCAGATATAAAGTTCTCAGGAGTTTTGAAAAGCAGTTTTACACTATGACTCGTTTGAAGCAGTTTCATTAGACCATAAGCCAGACACAATCTGTAACATTTCAACTTCAGTTATGAAAATCTCCAAAACTGGAGCATCTTAACAGCATCTTAACATCTGTGCACAGCTTGAAATGAGGATTTAAGTACTCTATAGATTACAATGAATTGTGCTCACATTTGTGCACTACATGTAAGAATATAACTGCTATTCAGTAGATGATTTTATCCATAAACAATCTGAGCCGAGGCAGATTCAGAATGTGTGCCTCCAGCTGGAGCACCTTGCTCTACCAGCAGGGATTCAAACCCTGAATCCTGACCAACCTCAGAGCCATCGAGCAGTGTAGAGCTGACAAAACATTCCTAAGACAGTGAAGAAATGCAGAAAGGGGATATAAAGACAATATAAAATCCAGCACCAGAGTCAACTTCTCTGCAGTTTTTGAACGCTGTATTCTGGCTCAAAAACATCAAAGTAAATCACAGCCACTGACCCCTCTTATCTGGGGAATTTGTTTGGACCAGAAGGGTCAGCGGGCTGTTTCACAGTACAAATATTCGATGTGATCGTGGATGTCTATATATAACAAGGGGAGTATGTACATGAGTGTGTGCCAACTGGGTCAGTGCCTCCTCCTCATCGTCCCTGTGGCTTCCAGGCCATTCCTGGCACACTTTGGGTTCTGTGCTTTCAAGACCCTCTGCCTGCTTTGGGGCCAAACGTTGTCTGATTTAGTGTTGATATCAAAACTCTATAGTGGGTAAAACAATATATCTGGTATCTGTTTTATGCATTTTCACCCCCTGTTGCTGCCTTTTTTATTCTGCCTAGTTACTTTGGAATATTCAAGATGATTTCCATTCCAACTGCTGGTTTCTCTTGCCGACGCTCAGTGTGAGAGCAGCTGAGTGTCTGAAATGTGGCCTGAGACTGCACACACACGCAGGAACACATTTACACACACACACTCCCCCACAGAGTGCATTCATTTGTATCATTTCACACACAAAAATCTGGAATTCTTCATCTGTCCCATGTTCTAGCCCGTGTGCATGTACACATGTGTGTCAGCGCTACATTGAAACATGCACAGCCGAGTGCACTCTGAGGCCTACTACAAACACACACACACACACACTCAGACACACACATACACACACACACACACTCAGACACAAGGGGCTGAAATGCATCCCAACCCGAGAATCAACAAATCATAAATCAGTAGATTTCCATCCAGTGTGGACGTCACAGATCAGGTTTAACATTCCTCCTCTGCAGCTGGAAGGGAGGCTGCAGGGAGAAAGAGGGAGGGAGAGGGCAGGACAGAGAGACAGAGAAAAAGAAAGAAAGAAAGAAAGGAAGAAGGAAAGAAAGAAAGAAAGAAAGAAAGAACGACAGACATCAAAAAAGAAAGAGGCACAGTAGTAGGTCAAATCTGACTTTCCTTCCCAGACATGACTTGATGGCTTCACATAGTGTTTATGTGAATGTGTGTGTGGTGGGGGTGGTTAAGTTATGGTTAAAATTATGGTTAGTTTGGCTCATTGTAACAATTTATTGTCTAGGTCATGAAGGGGAAGTAAAAAAATAAATTAATCATTGTACAGTATTTTGGTATATGATGGTGAAGATGTATGCATACTGCAGTGACTCCACTTTTTGTGTTTTCATGTGGATGACTGGGGTAAATATGGGTGATATTGTTAAAGAGATTTTAACAAAAGTCATTTTGCCGTTATCTACGGTATGTAATTGTTTTAGTGGATTATTCACGCGGCCCTGACTGCCTCCCTGTATCTTGTCGCAGCAGTTATGGTGCTACAGAAGTGCATAATGACGCAGTAATGTGCCTTAAATGGTTCATATTTGTGACGTCCGAGACATGATTGGTGTTGTTATTTTCATTGCTTCTGATTGTTGTCTTCTTCTTCTGCTTCTCATTATTATTATTAAATAATAATAATATTAACAATAATAAATAATTTTATTAGTAGTAGTAGTATTGGTGTTGTTCTATTTTTCCATGCAGGCCTAATTGCGGATGGAAATCCAAAACTTTCAGCTGAAGGTGGAAGGCTGTTCATATTGGTTTATTGGTTGGTCCGCCGTTTTTAATATACCATTATTAACGGGTTATTTATTACGGTTTATAGTCACTGGCTCCTAATTTCCAGCCTATGCAAAGGTCAGTTAACAGGCCTGAGTGATGACAGACACAATTACACACACACACACACACACACACTCGCAGGGAGAGAGAGAGAGAGAGACACAGAGAGAGAGAATATTTTATAACAGCTCTCTAAGACTCTTTTTTGGAGTGTCTACTTTCTCCCTCTCCCTTTCTTTCTGTCTTTTTTAATCAGTGCAATAAATTATGTTTGCAGTAGGTGGCGCTCTGAGCTCACCCCCGGCACCTCCAGCAGCAGAATGAAGGGTGAGTGAGAGAGAGTGTGTGAGAGAGAGAGAGAGAGAGAGAGAGAGAGAGAGAGAGAGAGAGAGAGAGAGAGCTTCCCCCGCCCATCCCTTCATCATTAGAAACCTCAGAGCATGAATTACCTCTCCAAAGTCATCGGCGAGAATTTACGACTGGTCAACAAAAGCACGTGACCGCACTCCCCCTTCTCTCTGTGTCTCTCTCTCTCCTCCCTCACCTCACCCCTCACCTCCCCCATCACACACACACACACACACACACACCCCAATCCAACACACTCACACACACACCACCCCACCCCCATATTTGGACGGCGCATACATAGCTAAAAACGAAGTACAGTGCAACGCCATAATTCACTAATACATCATAAATCGTTGAAAGTACCCGCGTTATAACGACCAAGAGAAATCTAACAAATCAAGCGCCCCTTAGTACTCAACTGTAAGCCTGCAACTCTCTAAAACAACCTAAATGAGCTCTTACTTTGTAAACTCGTTCTCGGGGCGCTACCCAAATGGCCCCGACTATCAACTGCTAAATTATGGAGCCAGCAGCGGCGCAATGAACGGCGGGACGTACAGGGACTCTTCCTCCGCCACCATGCACCATGCGACGGGCTCTTACGGCTACAGCTACAATGGCATGGACCTGACCGTCACCAACCGGGGAGGGGGGAGCGGCAGCGGCGCCAACACCGGAGGACACTTCGGGGGCGGCTCGGTCGTCGGGGACTCCCTGGGCTTCGGATCCCGAGCCCCGGAGAGGGGTTTTAGACAACCGTCCAGCTGCTCCCTCGCCTCGGCGGCAGACTCCCTCCTGTCACCCGGTAGTGGGGAGAACAAGCTGGGCGCCCAGAGCTCGTCTCCCCGCTCGGAGCAACCAGGAAGCGGTAATCTCAGCTCTCCAAACCTGTCCTCCACCTCCTCCGGCGGCGGTGGCGGCGGCGGCACGGCGCAGTGCTTCACGGAGCTGGACGACGCGTCGCCAGAGACCGAGGATTTGCAGCACAACCGGGACGCTGGCCACGGAAGCAACCCGACGCCCAGGAGCGGGCACCCGCAACCCGTGCAGAAACAGGAAGGCGGCCCGGCGGGATCAGCCGCTGGCAGCACGACGGGCAGCGACGCTCAGACACCACAGATATTCCCCTGGATGAGAAAGCTGCACATTAGCCATGGTACATGCTGCTCTTGTGTTTACAGCTTATTATTAGCTCTGTAGCTTACACGTCCAGGGCGATAATATTTATAATGCTGGCGTAATATATTGCAGCCTATATGTGTGGACACATGGGGTTGGTGACAGTTTAGGGCTTGTAGAAACTACATGGGGAGCCATGGTGCTCTGTGCCTCGTTGTATACACACATAAAGATGCAGCAGAATGATTGCTGCTTTGATTTGAGTTGAGTAAATTGGCTGTAAGAGAATAGCTGAGAGACACACATTTATCCACGGCTGCTCGTTTTTATCTGCACCCCACTAAGCCTTTTCCCACTGCGTAAATTTAATATTTTCATATGACTGGCAGACAGTAGTCAGCGATGTGTTTGATTCTTTTATTGTGCGTCTTGCTTTCAGGCACATTAAGAGTAATGCGGATATTTCACTATTTATCTTTTACTTATTTGGAAATCAGAGAGTAGCCAAACAGGGCAGCTGGCCTCCCTCTGGTTAACCAGCTGAAGTCATGTATTGCCGTGTTTTCTCAGTGCATCAGGGCGCAATTCGTTTTGCATTTCCCTCCTGTAGAAGCAAGGCACGCCGGATGGTTACCCCCTCTGTCTTTTCTCCCTCTTTTTTTATTTTAGCAAATTCCACAAAAGCGTCATAAATCTGTCAGGGGAGAGGCAAGCCGGGCAGCAAAGCCCAACAGGCTGAAGAGCACAGACAGAGCCGGGTGGGAAAAGAAAAAAAAAGAGGGAGAAAAAAGAAAGAGAGGCCAGGAAGGCTTTGGAGGCTGTTGCTCCTTTGAAAAGTGAAGCTTTATTACGTGTGGGAACTTTATTAGTGAGGTGAGGCAGAGGACGGGGCAATAAAACCCTGAAGCGAGCTAGAGGGAGTGAAAAGGGGGGAATAGAGAGGGTGATGGTGACGAGGGGTGGTTAAAAAAGAAAACAGTGATGTGACAAATAAAATAAATTCTTTTAGCGCAGGCTGTGGAGTGGAAATGGCAGAAATAAAATGTGTCAAGAAAGACTGCTGTCAGAATAAGGGACAGTTTTACGCACTGTTGTTGTGCCTTTATGCCTTTACGCACGTTCATTCTGATAAAACTCAGAAATCAGCCTTCTGTATGTGTGGGGGGTATAGAGGGGAGGGCGGGGGGGTGGGTGGGGGGGGTGTACACAATCGTATCAACACCTGTAGCTACAATATACTGAATACAGTGCTGCAAACCTGTAGAAAACACGACCTTTGTAATGTGGAGGAAAAAATAGCCTTTTGGGCGCATAGCTGGCTGCTATCTGATACCAGGCTGTACTGCAGGGTATTGTAAGGTGTTCGTGGTATTTTTTCCACCCACTGTTTGTGTGCATTTCTAAATGATCACATGTTGGTGCATCCAAACACGCCTCCCCCCCCTCTTCCTTCCTAACGGCCTTTTTGTTCGATCCAAACCCTCAGATATGACGGGCCCGGACGGGAAACGGGCGCGGACGGCGTACACCCGCTACCAGACGCTCGAGCTGGAGAAGGAGTTCCACTTCAACCGGTACCTCACGCGGCGGCGGCGGATCGAGATCGCGCACGCGCTCTGCCTCACCGAGCGGCAGATCAAGATCTGGTTTCAGAACCGGAGGATGAAATGGAAGAAGGACAACAAACTGAAAAGCATGAGCCTCGCCACCGGCAGCAGCGCCTTCCAACCCTAGAAATTATAACCAATTAAAAAAAAATCCTTCCGCCTATCTCTTTGGAGAGGTTACCATACCATGTGCAGGCTTCCCAGGAGGAGAAAGAAACAAAACAGTAGAAAAAAAATAAAGAAAACTTGAAGAAAAACATAGAAAATCAGAGAAGAAGCCAGCAGAAATGGAGCAAAAGGAGACGGCGACGAAGAAACATGTACAACAAGCAGATTCCAAATCTAGATTTTAAAAACACTTCCTATCATCAACTGAGTACTGTACAGCAGCGCAGCACTTTTTGTTTGTTCGGCATGTTGGTCTTTGGTGTTTTAGGGCAACGTAAAAAAATAATGACTGTGGTACTTGCTCTTGTAAAAAAAAACAAAAAACTTAGTGTTCCTGTGTGTTGTCGTCGTTTTTAAAATAGATGTCCGGAGGAGAGGAGTCGAGATAAGGAAAGGATGGATAATACTACCTAACTACGTTTCTACCTACATCCTACCTTACAACCTTGCTACCTACCTGTTGTTTAATGTCTAAATATCGTTTCATGTGTCAAGTGTTTTGTAATTGACAAAGTGCTTTCTAGAGAAGTTAGCATGTGAGCTCTTATTGTAAGTTATTTACAGCCAATAACGCGTGTATAGCCTTCTAGTTTGAGTCCTCTCTCTCTGTCAGTTACTTGCCATTCAGATCTGCTCCTATTTTTATTGAGGAAGCAGGGAAGGTGTGTATGTGTGCGTGCGCGTGCGTGTGTGTTTGTCTAAAAACAAACCAGCCCTGCCTACCATCACCGTAACCTTCCATAATGTTGTGTATAGCTCTATTATTCAAAAAAAAGTGTAACTGTATATTATTGTTATTATTATTGTAATTATTGAATCCATGTTTCAGAAGGGATGTATATAGATATATATTGACATTTTTAAATGTGACCAGTTGGCTATTTGTAGTTGCAGTGTGTGTGTGTGTGTGAGAGAGAGAGAGAGAGAGAGAGAGAGAGAGAGTGCGTGCTTGCCTGTGTGAGTGAGTGAGTGTGTGCGTGTATGTACGCATGTAAGGGAAATGGCTACCGTCCTGTGAGGCCTGTAAGCTTTCTGCCAATGAGCTTTTTGTATTTGTTTGTAACTTGGAGTAAAAAAAAAAAAAACAACAACAATAAAGTTCCCCATACTCATCAAAACCAGACAGACTCGACCAGCTGCTCATGTGCCAAACTGCCGCACAAATGGCTTAACTAGGGTTGAAAGCCAGTGAAGTCTTCAGCTTGTGCCGGAGCCCAAACTGTGGTAGAAATATCTATCTGGAATACTCGCGCTAGTTGGCGGTATGAATTAATTGTGAATCAATATTTTTCATATCTCAGTCTGTGTCAGGGGATGACATCAGCTGTCAGCTGCCAAACTCTTGGGTCAGTGTGTCATATCATGAAGTCTATTTGGCTGAGAAATAACCAGGGAGAGTGTGTTTTGATCCGGATTAAAGCATATGTGGATCTATTCCAGTCCAGCTATTGCAGAAAATTCACTTTCTTATACACTTCTGTGCGTTTTCTTCCTCCAACCACTTGCTATATATTCTTGTGCGCATTTCGGAGTCGGTTCTCATGAAATTATTACCAAGTTTTCACTTTTCACTACCAAATAATCCAAGCTGGAAAACCCCAAACTGCTAAAGACGCACCAGACCAAACCGGAGGCCTGCCGTCTGTTTTCCAGGCCTCACTTCAACCCTGAACGCCACATTTCCAAGGCGACAAGCTCCTGGACCTCAGTAGCATCGCAGCGCCATGCTCACCAATCACTAAACAAGCTGCATTAACACACACACAGAACAGACGCACACATGCAGGCCAATTTCCATCTCTGCTGACCAGGTCTGACAAGACAACAAACTACCCGCGGTGGACAAATTGGTCACTTTTCTCTAAACGGCCTCCCTTTTCCGTCCTAACGGAGGCCACTCCCGGCCAAATTAGGTTACCCTCTCCCGGTTTCCAACTGTAAACAACAACTGAACTTTTAAACTCACCGACTGATGCTGCTGCAGCTTGCCTGCTCATACACGGCTCTATTTCTGAGTTGATTGGGGGGGGAAACGAGGTCCTGCTCCGAGCCTCATCTGGACACAACCGCTATCTCCTGCCTCCTGTGTGTGTGTGTGTGTGTATGTGTGCTGAGATATTTTTTTAAAGCGAACCCATTCTGCTTTGGGCCAAACTATAAAAAAAGAAGGCAGCTTTGACATTTACATGTCAAACGGATGAGGGTTTTTATCTCCAAGTTGGATCGTAAAGATCAGGCCTGGCCTCAGACTGATACCTCTCACTGGCTCTCCTCTGGTCACGTGGGGTCCATAAAGTTAGTTTTATGGTTTTGGGGAGTTGACAATGTACTATATATTTCACATTCTAGAAAGCAAGTGACGGTTTAACGGCTTCGCGGGGATCCTAAAGGGGTCAGTAAAGTAGAGACAGAGCGGGAGAGGGAGGGAGTGTGTGTGTTAGAGAGGGAGAGAGAGCAGGCCACTACTACCGGCCGCTGTTCCTGCTCCGGTTCACACGCGGAGCCCGGCAGGCTCCGGTCTGTGCCGCTCTGGACTCTGGGAAAAGCCGGTGGAGAGAAAGAGCCAGGACGCACAGTAAGTAGTGTTTCAAGGCTGCCTGTAAGTGGGAGCTAAGTAGAGAGGGAGGCGGTGGGGGGGGGTGGAAGGAGAGAGAGAGAGAGCTGTGTAATTACCATGTCACTCACTCACTGTGTAGTGCTGCTGTATTAACGCGCTCGCTGAGTGCCGCGAGGCATCGGTGTGTTTGAGATATCTGAGATTCGTTGTTGTGGCTGGTTCGGACCGCGCGACGGTGGTGGCGTCACAGACTGAGTGAGATGCCGCGTGTGAGCACGCGCGCAGTTGTGTGTACTTTCGTGTAGCGCCCCCAACATATGCGTTTTAGAGCGTGCGTAATGATGGCGCACAGGCTCACAGGAGAACTATCTGTATGTTTATGGGGTTCTCAGTGGGGAGAGGTGGCAAACACAGGGTGGTTTACATCTGTACAGTGGTTGTGTGTCTGCGTGTACGTGTGTACATACTAAAAATTAACAAAAGTAAAATGAAAAGTTAAAAAAATCGGTGAGTTTCGAATGAATTTAAGAGTGCGTAAAGACTACTTTAAGGTTTCACCACAAGGTTCTTCCTTCTTAATTTTAAATATGGACTTTGAATAATACATTCAATGGAAGGCTGATGAACTGACCCAGAAACAGCAGTTGTCGTCGACGTGATTTTTGAAAGTGTGGAACTGATCTCGCTCATATGTTTTCTCTCCCTCTGGATGATAGGGACAACATGTGACATTAATGATGTGATATTCATTCATATTTACTCCCTGGTTGCTTTTATTGCAGCAGTTCTGGGGGTAAAAGCATTTCACATCACTGTACGATTGTTTTGTCACTTTTACGCACGGCCACCGTGTGCGTAAAAATTGGTTCAATAAATGATAGAGAGTTGGAAAAATGCCCGCGTGTGCTAACATTAACCGACAAGTAAATGGACAAGGACACACACATACACACGCATACACACAGCCTGTAGTGATATGCGGCCTTGGGTACAAGAAAATCTTTGTCCGTCCCCCGCCCTTGTATTTTCCAGGCAGGATGGGTGTGAGTGAAAAAGCGTCGGGGATACAAACATTCCCAAGGCTCACCATCGGAGACCTTGTAGGTTACTTTACACCAGAGCTGTGGCCTGTTCGTTGACTCTCAGCAAACTGACACACACACACACACACACACACACACACACACACACACACACACACACACACACACACACACACAGGCAAGCTGTTTTTGTTGGAGCTTGTACATTTAAATCCAGCTACCGTCCGCTAGGGCTTTCGAATTAACCCCAATAGAGACAAAACTTCCATGAAGCAATTTAAACACAAGGCACAAAAACAGACGATCTAAACCAATTCTAACACAGAACTTCAAGACTGAATTTAAGCCGTATGGTTGTCTTGGCTTTTACATCAAGCTCAACTGCCATTTTGTAAAGCCGGGGACATAAAAACTGTACACTGAAGTAAATATTAATGACATTGTTCTTTAGACCAGGACATTGTGACATTGTCCAGGACAGAATTAAAGCTATGCCAATCACATGTTATTAACCCTGTATATGACCCAAAAACTGAAATCCTCTTAATAATAGCGACACCGGAACTCTTCAGTGATGCTCTGAAAAGGCGTGTAATAGCCTTCAAGTCAGATTTAACACCCAAACACACAAGGTAAATGGAACCAGTTCAGGCACGCTGGGCTGACTAAACATTATTAAATATTAACGGCATTCTCTGAAGTAATACTAATCAGGCTACGTGACACCAGAACTCTCAGTTCTAGACGCAACATTTAAACTCCAAAACACACTAACAATAACACAACAAATATCCGTTTAAAATAAACAGGACTAACACTGCACCGTGTCTCTGATATTAAAGGAAATACGTAGCAGCGTGAGAATATGACTCCTGATTTATTCGTTGAAATCAGCGCTGTTTTAAAAAGTATTTACACACACACAACCACACACACGGTCCCAATTATTGTCCGATAACGCCAAAGCAGCCGCGGAGACCCGCAGCTTTATCTGGTGTTAGGAAACAATAATGAACTAACTGTAGGCTGTGCTGTGGATAAAAGAGGAGCAGGTGGAGGTGTTAACAGTGCACTGTCTGACCCTGTAAATCTTTATTAGTTCTCCACACTGGTTCCCTCTGATGTCTGAAGCGGGACTCAAGCTGTCAAACAGCCCGGCTACCAGTCACGCGGCGCCGTCCTCTCCTCGCGCACGCTCGCTCTTATTGCTTAGATCCATCATGTAAATTGTTTAATGTCTCTTGTCACGGCGAACGCTCACATTTCGGTGTGTACCGAGTGGAGTTTCAAACTTTTAAAAAAAACAGTCAATCACCGCGGCGTTACCGCTCCCGGTAGATAGTTATCAGCCAATCTCCGGAGGCCAAACTGTTGATCAAAGCAGCGACGTCACAATAAGACAATCAAATTAATAGTTCTCCTTTTGTGCTGAGAACAACCGCAACATGGCGCCCTGAAGAGGCCGACACATACAAAGTACTGAGAGGTGGATGACGGCCAGCACTGTATACACCACAACAGGTACTGTTAACTAAAATCAGATATATAGAGTGTATATTTGAATTTATCGGGATTAATTAAAATGACATTTAATTTAATCAAATACAATATAGCCTAGTATAGGCCTATATGATAGAATACACGCACTCCATCCGCTAAGTGCTAAGGAGAACGGTGACATACGGTTAAAAGCTCTGGAAAAAGATAGTGGACCTTGAAAGTGCTTTTTTTTCGTCAAATGTGGCTCTATCTTTTAGGGGGACTACATTGTCATTTTTTTGCACAGCCTATTTTGTGTTACAATGGATATTATACTTTTTTAATTTAATTTTTAAATTGTTTTATGGACGTTCAGCCAACGTGTCCATGTACTAGATTTTTAAAGTAGTTTTTATCAGCTTTATTTAATTCACTCTAATTAATTATTTGTATTATTTATTTCCCTCTCCTTTTTACGAAGTATTTCACGGTGTGAATAGTTCTTACAGTATTTACAGAGTACTTTACGCATGAGTGTATTCCTCCTCGCAACGACCACACAGTTAATCCGGTGTCCTCTGCACTCCGCTAATAAGAGAGGAGGATTCTGCTTTCGGAAGTCCCTCTCAGCTCTCAAACTCTCATTTATTATGTTCACTTTACATGTGAGGCCGGCCTGCTCCCGATGCATTTTCAGTCTGGGGATTCCAGGCGCTGCCCTCCGCCATCGCAATGATTTTTCACAAGCTTCACAAGAATGTTATTTAGAGTCATGCTCGGGATACCATAAATTATTCAGACACTGGAGGAGGGAAAAAAAAGTAAAATGATGGAAAAAAGGTTCATTTCATTGCAACAGATGCCACTTAACATTTGACTTGTTTAATTTTTTTAAATGTGTGCTCCTGAAAATAACAAAATGACAGGAAAAAAAAATGTATCTTTCTTTCCAGGCTGTATTTTATAATAATTTAGTATTACTAGTTATTATCATATGTCCGAATAACATAATCTGCTCATAATATCAGTAAAAAGTGATCCG